AGGTACGAAGTTATTATTTGACCAAATGGATCGGGTAAATCTCGATTTATTTTAAACAGTAGACCTTCGTGCCAGACTCTATCAAAGGCCTTTGCTACGTCCAGGAAGACCCCTGCGCCTATCTGCTTCTTTTCCAGGGCATTTTCAATAAAATCGGTTATTCTATGTACCTGATCAATGGTAGAATGTTTACATCTGAAACCAAATTGATGGTCCGGAATGAGTTTTCTTGCTTCTATTTCGGGTTTCATTCTGTTTAGCAGCAATCTCTCAAAAATTTTGGATAGAATAGGCAAGAGAGAGATCGGTCTATAAGATTTAGTTTCGTTTGCTGGTTTACCAGGTTTGACAATCATCAGAACCTCAGCTGCTTTCCACTGCCTAGGTACATAATTCAAACGAAAGGAAGCATTGAATAGATAAAGCAGCATCTTTAGAGCTTTCAGTGGAAGTTCCTTAAGTATGTCCGCTGTGATCAGGTCATACCCAGGTGCCTTTTTGTTCTTGGTATTTTTTATTTCATTTCTCAATTCACCAAGCTTTATTTTCTTAATCTGGGTTTTAACTGGAGGAGCGTTAAGTTGGATGTTTTCCAGATGCGTCTGTCTTGGTAGAGGTTCAAATATCTTTTCGAGATAATTTGCAAACACGTTAGCTTTTTCTTTATCATCCGAGGCCCAAGAATCGTCATCCTTTTTGATTGGCGGATTTTGTTCTCTAGGTCTATTGATACCTTTCACTGTTTTCCACAGCGAGTAATCAGTGTCTTTTTCAGCTGTCAAATTTTGAAGGCGATTGGCAATAGTTTCGTTTCTAATGTCTTTTAGTAGAACTTTAAGTTTATTGCTCAGCTTATTGAGTTTAGTTTTGTCAGTTGGGCAGCGTGTGACTTGCCATATTTTTCGGGCCTTTCTTTTCTCTTTGATGAGCCTCCTGACTTCTATAGGACAATTGAGATTGCCATTGGCCACCGGTTTCCTAATTTGAATAGTATTGTTCCAAATGGCACCTTGGACATTAGTGATAAACGAATCAAGCTGTTCCTCCAGTTGAGCTTCATTCCTCAAGGACACTTTATCGTCAATAATTTCGTCAAGTTCTTCTCTAAACTGAGTCCAATTAGTTGTTTTATTAGCTAATCTAGGAGCATCGTCAATCATTATAATGGTTTCACTTATAGTTAATATCACAGGCGAGTGATCAGAGTTGAGGTCAAAGTTTTCATCAATGCTAATATAGTTTTCAGCTACACCTCTAGCAATATAGAAATCAATTACATCAGGCAATCTATTCGGGTCATTAGGCCAGTATGTTGGTTTTCTCGAAGAAAAGAAAGAGCAATTTAGTTCTCTCCCAGCTTCATAGAGAGCCCTTCCTTTAGGACTCGTTAATCTAGAGCCCCAAAATACGTTTTTAGCGTTAAAATCTCCTCCTAGTATGAAGTGGTTACCCATTCTTTTTAACATTTCTATGTAGTCTGCGTACCTCATGTTATGTTTTGGAGGGCAATAAATGGCCGAAATTTTAATTTCCTTATTTCTTGCCTTAATTTTCACCGAGCTTATCTGCATACTTTCTTCTTCGATTTCGGGTTCCAGAACGTGTTTGATATTTTCTTTAACTATGATACATGATCCTCCCCTTGCATTGTTTGCGGGATGTAAAGCAGAGTAGAGCTTGTAACCCCGCACCCTTAAACAGGACTCTCTCGTAAAATGAGTTTCCGAAATAAGACAAATGTCTATTTCTTCGTTATGCAAAAAGATTTCTAGCTCTTGGATATGATTGGTTAGTCCATTAGCATTCCACGTCATTATTCTTAAAGTATGTGTCATCTTTTAAAGCGCCACGTGTTTATTTTATTTTCTATGTTGTCCAGTCGATTCCAAAGTTTCGTTTGTTGGGCTTCGGATTGCTCTAGTTTCTTTAAAATTAATTCTATCATTACCTCCAAAGACTTACTTGGGGTAGTGTTACTTGAAGCTGCTAGGGCGAAAGTTCTATTTCCTAACATCTTAGGATGCGGGCTCTTGTTATGAGGGGTGATCAGTATCGGAACCGCTGGTTGGTCTAACGCAGGGGTTTTTGGAGTCTTTGGCATAGTTGGATTAAGGTTTCTTTTTCCTTGCTTTTTATTTTGAACAGCTTGGTTCCTTCGTCTTTGCAACTCTTTTGCTACTTCACATCCCCGATAGTTCGCTGGGTGATTGCCGCCACAGTTAGCGCATTTTGCTGGAGCGCTCCTATCGAGATCACAGCACGCGGTGAGATGACCTCCGCCGCATTTAAGACACCTTGGGAGCTTTTTACAGTATTTTTTGGTGTGGTCAAAATCCTGACATCTTTTACATTGAGGAATTTGATTCGAATTTTTCCTCAATGCCTCTATTTTTACAGGAATATTTAATATCGATCTGATATCATAAATTTTCTGGATACTTTCATTTTTGCTGAATGTTAGCATAAAAAGCGGCAGTTTCTTAGGTTGAGTGAGCCGTTCACCGTTCTCCTTGATCACCCCCACCTTTTTGATGATGTTGACTGCATCCTGAATTTGAAACTTTTGATCAAGTAAATCATTAATTACTTCATTCCTATCGCAGGACCAATGTAGTCCCCTGGCCATTACTTTAATTGGTCTGTCATGTTTATTTTCGTAAGTGAACCATTGTAAATTTTCTGCTTCCAGCTTGTTTACTAAAGCACGATAGTCGTCTGGAGCTTCGGTGTTCACTTTCCAGACGTCATTGTTTAGAGGCTTCACTTTATAGTTGTTGGTAACATCGGTTATAACCTTTTTTATGGTTAGATGATCTCCAATTCCAACTATGTTAATAGGAGGAGGCCTTCTATCTTTTATTACTTTATCAGCTGTCTCTTTATCCGATTTGCATCCAGTAGATATATTGGAAGCGTTCTTTGAAGGAACAGGTTTTTGCAGCTGACTAGTTGACTTTTTAATATCTTTGCAACTGGAGGATAAAGCCCCGTTATTAGCATCATTTTTAGAATGCGATAGGTTTGGTTTAGCATTTTTACTGATAGATGCAGTTTCTTTAGCCATTTCCGGGGAAGAATTGGCTTTTCTTTTCTTGTGTTTTTTGGTAGTTTTTGCTACCCAGTTTGCATTTGCATCTGTTTCAAAACCCGTTAGGTCCTCACTGCTGTTGCTCCTAAAGTTCCTCGCTGAGACTTTCTTCTCCAGTGCAGCTCTCAGATTTTTATTTTCCAATTTCACCTCGCTTAGCTCCTCCAAGAGTTTATGTAGGAGAGCTTCGTTCTCTACCATTTTTTTTCGCAGTTCTTCACACTCTTTTAAGTAGTTTGTAGAAGAAGCAGGAGATTCGGGAGGAGTACGCTTAGTTAGCGAGCTCCTGGAACCAATACTGGCGTTTGTCAAGATACTAGATTGTTTCGTACCTGTAGTTAAATGCAATAAGTGACCCCCCCCAGAATCCGTGGGGTCAGCCTCCAAAGAGGGTGGATTCACCAAAGGTTTTGGCTTACCACCTGGGGTACAAAATCCAATTGTTTTGTTCATTGCATGTTACTTGTGTTATTTTGTAAGAGTTAACCTCTCTGAATGGTTGCATATCTGCTTCATCACGTTTATTAAGCGAGCCGCTTGTTACAAGTCAGACGCCCGCCGGCAGCCGCCAAATCTTGGTACAGACGCTACCCAAGTTAGGAGGGGATAATATTAATCCCACTCCTAACCCGCCATTCTCGTTGGCTCACTGACCAGAGCTACTCCACTCGGGTTGGTTACCGAATCTTTGGCTCAGGTTGCTCAGCTTAGCAGGAGGGACCACGTGCAGATGAGACTTGGCGTTGAGTGGAAGAGGCTAGGTTGACATAACAGGAAACTGTCAACTATATTACGCTTACCACTCCTCTCCCCTCCATTTTTTAAAAGTAAATGAGAAAAAATAATGTCTCATCAGAATTTATAGGTTTAGGCCTCAACCGCGGAAATAACTCGATTTTTTAAAGTCGCTCGTAAAATTATTTTATCAACACAAATTTTTATATGTCTTGAAAAAATTCTTCATTTTATATTTTTTTGAAATCATCTTTGAAAGACTAATTGTTCTTTATATATAATTATGCAATTGTAGAATGTCCGCTTAACAGAATGTCAAAGATTTCACGATCATATTAATCACGTTATTCGCCTGATTTTGTAAATGATAATTATCTGCGATGAAGCAATTTTCGCAATCGAAATTTTACAAATTATTTCAATAAAGCGGTAAATATAAAATTTTAAAGAAATGCAAGAAAAAAATTAAGATAATAATCAGTTACGTTTGAATTCATGATTAATGGCATTTGATATACTGGACAACGATCGATTATATTGGGGTTTATTGTGAGTATCGAATGACTAAGTGATAGTGATATTTATCGTAAAGGTTTCAAAAACTTTATTATATACAATAATATCCAACTTTTTAGGATTCTTAACACTGTAGATTCTTTGTGATTCACTCACCTTTTTTTCTTCCGTGAGTAGTAGGGGTGCATATAAAATCGATTTTAAATCTTTGTCAAAATGTGATTGAAAAACTGATACGGAAGATGTGTTATTTATACTAAAATTTATTAAAACTATTTTCTTTGTATACTTCTATATTAACTTCATCATTTTCTATTGGTTAATTTATTTGTATTCATCATTTTTTTCAATTATCATCAAAAGAAAAAATTAATAAATATTTACCTAGATGGATCTGTACTACAGACATACATATGTATACATACTTATGTATGGTTAAAAAACATAAGATCAATTTTTTAAGTTTAAGCGATCTTGTTATCCATTTTGCCTGGTATTACTGTAATTCGAGTAAAACGATCAGGTAAATGTTGTTAATTAAACGAAAAAATCGAAGGGGACGTAGATTTGTGAAATTAAGCGGTTTTTCTAAAACTTAGTGAAAATTTAAGCGATTTTTCTTGGGTTTTTAAATTTTTTAATAAAGTTACTGGTTGTCAAGAATTTTGCTAATGTTATATTTTTTTATAGAACTTAAAAACATGTCTTGTCTTACGAGAAAAACATAAAAAGAAGATTTACATATTTTTGTAATTTCGACGTTGTATTTCCGCCTGATTGTTGGTTTTTATATTATTTTTACTTTAATAAAAAAGAACAAAACAAACATGAATTATTTTAACTTATTTAAAACTAATTATTCTTAAAAATTATAATAATTATTTAAAATATTTATTAAAGGATAAACTTAAGATAGCAGTCAAGGGTTAAATACATTACACATAACCTATTGCAAACATCATAACCAAATTATAATCAACAATAAATGTACTGCGAAATTTCTCTAAGTTTTAGTTGTTTAAAATAAATTAAAACTGCAATATTTAATGACGCAAAACTTTAGAAAATCGTTTCCGTTACATGTAAAAAAAGCTATACAATGGTTTCCAGGACACATGGGGAAAGGTCTTAAAATAATGGAACAAAAATTGAAAACAGTGGACTGTGTAATTGAAGTAATGAAACCTTCATAATATTTCGTAATATATTTACGTACTTAAATAATATTATACATACTTAATATATTTATAAATTAATAAATATTGGAAGGTATAATTTTAAGGAATACTTTGAATTTTTTTGTTTTAGGTTCATGATGCTAGAATACCATTTTCTGGTAGAAATCGTCAGTTGAAATACAAAATTTTAGATTCAAAGCCTCATATACTAGTTCTCAATAAAAAAGATATGATTGATGCAAATCAATTCAAAATAATTTCTAAGAAAATAGAAGAATCAGAAGCTGTTAACAAGGTAATATTTACTAATTGCAAAGATCAATTGTGCAATGGTGTGAGGAAAATTATTCCTATCATTAAAGATATAGTATCAAACACAGATCGTTACCGTAGTATGGATGACAAAACCCAAACATTAATGATTATTGGTGTACCAAATGTGGGCAAGTCTTCTTTGATAAATATTCTGAGAAATAAACATTTAAAAGAAAAAAAGGCAGCTAAAGTTGGGGCCGTTGCCGGTATTACACGAAGTGTTATGAGCAAAATTAAAATATGTGATGAACCACTCATATATATGATAGACACCCCCGGAATTTTAGAACCTCAAATAGAAGACGATGAGACTGGATTAAAATTAGCATTATGTGGTTGTTTTCAAGACCATCTGGTAGGCTATGAAATAATAGCAGATTACTTGTTATATTGGCTAAATAAACATGAAAATTTCGCTTATGTTGATCTGATGCATCTAAAAAATGGCCCTACAGATAAAATTGAAGAAGTTTTGATATCAGGAGCTGTTAGTATGCAGAAGTTTAAAAAAATTCGAAACTACGAAGGTAGGCATATAATATTGCCCGATACACAATATGCGGCACAATATTTTATTAAAAATTTTAGAATTGGAAAATTTGGGAAAGTTAATTTGGATTCCATCCAGTTTAGTTGAGTAATTAAAAATTTTTTTCTTAGTTTGTTTTATTAAATTTTGTGTATATTTCAATAAATGTTATCTCTTAAAATTTTACTTTTTTTTAAAACAAATAATGAAGGATTTACCATGCAAATTTGGCAACTCCAGCTTTATTCGCGTACTCGTCTGACAACGGTTTCATTCGGTCTTTAGCCTTCTTAGAAAGAGGACATCTTTGTTCATAAAAGGCAATTACAGTCTCAGGATCCTTTTCATTAACTATTAATGCTGGAATTAAGTCTAATTCCTCACAATCTTCCCACTCAATTAAGAATAAAATATCCCCAGTGCAATCTGTTGCTCCACATATTCTTTTAATTGCCAAACCGCGATCATATCCCCTAGGCTTTTCTATTTCTTCAATTTTCGGTTTTTGGTTTGTCCGATTTTTTGATGGTTTTTGGCGATCCTCTTCGAATTTTGCTATAAGCTGAGGACAGTTACAATTTTCTTCCGGTTCCCAAGTATTATCTTCACTATTAATAACAGAAATTAATTGTTGTACTAACGTTTTAAATTATTATATGTATACTCTGTGTATCCTTTCCACTTAAGCAAGTATTCTATTTTACCTTCTGCTGTTATTCGTTTATCTAGAACCTTTTCAACAGAGAACCCCTTTGCTCGTACCATATCTTTTACACCGAAAATTTTATTAAAATGAAATATTTCTGTACCTATTTTAAATTGTTTTGTTAGACAACAAACGCTTCAATCAAATTTTAGAAAATAAAGCAAAGTTAGCAACGACTATGACAATAGTTTTTTGTTTTTGAATAAGAGTTGTCAAAAATGTACATAGGAAAAAGTACACAAATACGCAAAATTTTATAATAACATAGAAAATACACAAATTTTTTTAACGTGAATGTCAATGGTCCACCTAAATGGAGACGATTTCTGGAATACGCTTACCAAAATGAAATTAATTTCATATATTTAAATGAATACCAACAAGATGGCTACAGGGCTACCGCACCGAATCCTACCGTCAAATTCCAAACTCACACCTTTGGAATTAAAAAATTATTTTTATCACTTTTCACATTTTGTACAAACGACAATCATATTTTCATAGCAATAAATACATACAACTTCGGTTTGTTTCTCCCACAATGCGGCTATGTTTTTTGTATCAGGTAATTATAAAGATAAAGTAATAAACTAAATTAAGATCAGGTATTAAGAAACTTGCATTAAACAAAGTGAGCAAAAAGAAATATTGCGAAATAGTTCAGTTAAATTTTAATGAATAATAAGCGACGATAATTATATAATAAACGCTAAAGTTTTATGTTTGAAGTAACTGAGGTATATTAGTAAAAAACAATACGCTTTGTCACGTAAGCATGTTTTTCTCATCAAGAATTATTTTAATATTAGAGCAATGTATTAAGATCAAGAGAGCTGTTTTGTTTGATAGGTCAAAAAATAATCCGAAGTGTAAACAAATGTTTTTTCATATACAACAACAACCGAAAATTGTATTTCCGATCTCTTGAGGTTTTTTAAAGAATTGTACACCCCTCTTTTTTTATTAAACTGACACACACTGACAGCGACATTGTAAATAATAGCATTTTCAGAATTCATTCTAATAAAATCACAAAGGAGATATTTAGACGATTTGATAAAAGTTTTTAATTAAATAAAATGAAAGTTAATATAAAGTGGAGTATTTGTCGAATATGTTTGGAAGAAGTTGAAAATGAAGGAAAATCAATATTTGATTACGATGAAGATAAACAGGAAATTTGCGCAAAAATCAGAGAATGTGGCGGAATAAATGTATGAGTATTCCACATTAAAATAGTTTCGTAATTTTATATTGTGTTTTTATTTTCAGATATATAGAAAATCAAACTTACCAAGTATAATATGTAATACTTGCTTATTGCACTTGAATATAGGTAAATTACTTATTTAGTAGTTCTTAATTGTTTATCAAAAATATTGTTACAACTAATATACTTGTTTTAGCTTACCGCTTTCGAAGTGTTTGTCAAAGTTCTGATGAAAAATTACAAACATTTCTTGATAAAACCGAAGTTTTGAATAAAAAGATAACCCCTGATTGTTCATTTTTAGAAGTTGACGATTTAATTTTAAATCAGAGCAATGAGATTTTTGAAAATGATGATGAACAATATTTTGTATACTATGCTGATCCCGAAGAAATTGATGATAATCCCTTAGCACAAGATCCAACAAAGAACTCATCAGATTCTTTACCACATTTCAAACAAGAATATACTTTAGATGAAGAATACATAATTGAAACCGAAGATGATCCTAAAAATGCAAATTTACTTACAACTACTAAAGATGAGGAAACATATGAACTAAATGTTAGTTTAGAAAGTGATAGCAAGGACATTGATAACATTTATGATGAAAAAAATGTAAATATTTTAACTCTTGAAAGTAAAACAGAGGAAATTTTGGAAAAAAATGATTCCATAGTAGAAGAATCAACAGAAGAAGTTAAAATAAGGAGGAAGAAGAGAGGTGCAAGTGGCGTGGACCAACAAAAATATGTTTGTGACGTATGTGGAAACCAATACGATCGTAAATATACTTTGCAGCAGCATATGAAATGGCATTCAGATGACAAACCCTTTGCCTGCGAGTGAGAAATAAAATTTATATTGAAATTTTTACTTTGTTAAAACGATTATCTCTTTTTTAGACTATGTGGAAAGGCATTTGTGACAGAATATCAAATTCATCGCCACATGAGAGTTCATACAGGGTGAGAAATAGTGTGCTTTGAACAACTAATAATATATTTAAGATAGACATATACGATTTTATTTAATATTTACAATTTTACAGGGAAAAACCATACAAATGTCAATATTGTGAACGTAAATTTTCAGATGCCTCGTCTAGAATGAAACATGAGAGGTAGGTTTGAAGCTAAATATGGGTTTATTTCAAATAAACTAAAAAAATAAAAAATTATTATACATTTACGACAGAATTCATACAAATGTGCGACCATTTAAATGTGATGTATGTGATAAATCTTTTAATTACAGTGATGTCCTACGTGTACATAAAATGACGCACTCTGGAGAAAAGGTAAATGTGAAATGTGTAATTTTATGCACCAATACGCATATATGACACATATATTCGTTTAGTAAATATATGGATGTATTTTATTTTGTTTCTTTGGTTTTAGCCTTATGCTTGTGAATTATGCGGCAAAAGATTCTCCCAAATGCATCATCTCAAAGCTCATTTACAAACTCTTTCGCACAAAGCATTAGCAGAGAGTGGGGCATATTAAATATCAATGTTCTTATTTTACATATAAGAATATAAATTTTAGTTTTAATGTAAAGTATTCAATATTTGATTAAATTTCGTATTGCCAGGATTTCTCCAAATCTCAGTCTATAAATACTGATTTTTTGGTAAAATAAATATTACTCTTTTATGCTGAAAGATGTCAGGCTAAAAAATAAGAAAGTAAAGCAACAAATCGAAATTACTTCGTGATTTGATTGGTTACATATATTTTTAGTTAACCTTAGTAATTTATGCTTATGTTAATCTATAGTACATTTTGTATTTTAGTAATTTTCTGAAACAATTATAATTACCAATTAAAAATAAAAATGTAAATGTTCATTTTCTAGCTTTTATAAGTTTCAAATTCAGTACGACGAAATTTCCCAAGTTAAAAATGAAAGAAATTTTAAATTTAAAGAATATTTTTTTATTAAAGATAAATAATAGTAAATAAATGGAATTTATTGTAATGAAATAACTTCATGTTGTTCTATTAACTCCGTTTTATGCCCTTCTATTGGCGAGTTAAGAGTTTGAGTATAATCCGAATAACTGGGATCTGTTTCAAAGAGTTCAATTTCAACCTGCTCGCATTGAGCTTTATGAGATAATGTCATTAAATGAGCCTTCAAATGATATGACTGTGCAAACTTTTTATTGCATTGAAAACATCTGAAATTTAAAAAAAAGTGTAAATATGAAAAGAATGTATTTGATTTGAAAGATTTATGAAAAAATACTCGTAAGGTTTTTCTCCTGTGTGTGTAACGATATGTCTTTTGCAAACATCTGAATAAATAAAATCCTTGGGGCAATACGGACATTTAAAAGGACGTTCATTTGTATGTATTCTTTCGTGTTTGATTCTTGTACTAATGTCTCTAAATTTGCGCTCGCAATATTTACAGCTATAAGGTTTTTCCTAAAAAGAAAACTTTCGCATCATCTCAATCTAAAAAAAAAATGAATAAGTCTTACCCCTGTATGTATTCTCATATGACGAGATAACTGAAAATTTAAGGCAAAATCTTTACTGCATATCCTATAAAAATAAAAGGATCAACCAAAAGATTTTCAGATATTTTGAGAAAAACTTACTCGCAAACAAAAGGTTTTTCGTTTGTATGTAGCCTCATATGAATGTCAAGAGAATATTTATGTTTAAATTTATTACCACATATATCGCAAGAAAAACTTTTTGTTTGATCGCGTTTTGTATATTTTCTACGAGTTTTTCCTTGTTTTGTTAATTCTGAGCCACTCATTTGAAGTTCATAAATTTCATGATTTTCCTCAATTATTCTTTCTTCAGCGTCTGGAAACAGGGCTTGATTATCTATTTTAAAAGATGATAGGTTATTATCCATATCTAAACTATTTTTGTCTAATATTGTTCTAATTGTGTATTTGCAATCAGGCATTTCTTTTTCTGATAAAGTGTCTTTCAATAAATTTGTATAATCAACTGTATCAGTTATTGTATATTGATCTTGCCCTTCTCTATTTAACTCGATTTCATCCTCTTCTATAACGTATTCTACAAAATCAATTTCTGCTTCATTCTCAATTTTATCCACTAGGTTTTCATCAACTATAATTTCTGGGACTTCCAAAGATTCTGTCATTTCTAAGGTCCCGGATAAGAGAAATTCGTTAGCTTTGTTTACAAAGGAATGAAGACGTTCGTTTGTAATTTTGCAAGTTGTACGAAATTTGTATGCAACATCCAAATGCTTAATGCACATCTTGCATATAATTTCCGGGAAATTGCTTTCCTTTTTTACCTTTTTAGTAAAAAAATAGATAAAAATATGAAAATATTAGTACAAATAATTAAAATTTCAATTTAAATACTGGGCATGAAAATAAAAATATAAAATTTAATTATGTATAAAAGGTGTTACTTCAATTCCCCCACATTCAGAAATTTTCTTTGAAATTTCAATTTTGTCCTCATCGGTATCAAAAATACTTTTATTTTCGATTTCAGTATTAAGTTCGCTTAAACAGACACGGCACATATTCCAATTTATGTTAGCTTTCATTTTGCAAATTTGTAATTTTTTTGTTACATCTGCTAATTATTTTTATAAAAAAAATATAGAAAGTAGTAAACAGCTCTCAAATTTGTCAAACGTCAGACAATTTTATTTTCGCTTATATATAATATAAGTAAGCACCTGACAGCTATTTTTGTTAAGTCAAAATTAGATACATCTAGCGATATTTTTTTGAAATTCCTTTGCAAAATATGTACATATAAAATTATTTCAATTTTTTTGAGTCATTAGATTTTTTAAATATAAAATGGCGATAATTAATTTTTGGCGGTAGTTTGGAGTAGCGAACAACTGACTTTTTTATGGATATAATTTTTGTAGCAGAATTATTGAATTTTGAGGCAAAGTCTGAGTGTTATCAGATAATTTTTGTCTGATAGGTAAACAGTTATCAGGTTTTATCTATGATTTACTCTTATTTTTTTCGTATTTGTAAGCCATGCACATGAAAAAACCTCAGTGCTAGGCTAATTTGCACTGCAACATGAAGACTCTTTTATAATTAATATTATGAAACATTAATTAAATAAAACTGTATTAATGAAAAGATACTCTATTAAATCAACCATTGTGAAAATGCTAAAAGCTACATAGGACAAATAATAAAAAAGTAAGAAGTGCGAAGCAAACGAAAGCAATCTATGATTTTATGGCAAGCTATAAAGTGTAAAGCATTCTTAAGTAAAACTAAATTTTGGATTTACTAAAACGAGTTTACAATGCGTTGTAGCTGTTTAAGTGGTAAGAAAAATGCTTTTTAGTTCGTAATTTTGACTACTCTAGGATTGATTGTAATATAATTCTATCTTAAAACCCAAAAAATTTTGAGAAAGATTTGGTTTAATGCAAATACTATCTTTTGTAAAAAGATCTGTATCATGTTAACTACATTTTATAAAGCAGTTGAAAGGTCTTCACTATGTACAAAAGTTTTTATTAAATATAGTAAGGACATAATATTCTGTCTATGTTATTTGATTTAAATTAAGACCAATAAATTCTTTTAAAAAACAATCCATTGAAAATAGTACAATCCATTGTTTAAAATTAAAGGTTATCACATAAGTTACCAATTTTTCAAAAAATTACGTAAAATCTTCTTTATTACCTTATAATTTCCTCACAATAATAATATTTTCTTTTTCATCCACCAGATATCGTTACATCTTTATTCAATTAATTAACTTGGTCTAATGCTAAAAGCGAAGCTTACTTTAATATGATGACAATCAATTTTTAGGTTATGAACAAAATTTTATTATTTCTAAAAACAAGTGAAATTCGTAGTCATAGTTGAAAATTTTTGTGAATAAAAATGGTATATTTTATTTTTAATTTATTTTCAAAAATAATTTTTTTTTAATTTTTAAAAAGGGACAAAACCAATCTGGTCAAAGTGGTGGTGATAAAAAAGATGATAAGGACAAGAAAAAGAAGTATGAACCTCCGATTCCAACAAGGGTTGGCAAAAAAAAAACGGCGAGTTAAAGGCCCAGAAGCGGCTATGAAATTACCTCAGGTGACGCCTCATACAAGATGCAGACTTAAATTATTAAAACTTGAGAGAATTAAAGATTTTTTGCTGATGGAAGACGAGTTTATAAGAAATCAAGAACGCTTAAAACCGCAGGATGAAAAAAATGAGGAAGAACGATCAAAAGTTGATGATCTTCGAGGTACTCCTATGTCGGTTGGTAACCTTGAAGAAATTATTGATGATAATCATGCAATTGTTTCAACTTCTGTTGGTAGCGAACATTATGTGAGTATTTTATCGTTTGTTGATAAGGATCAACTAGAACCTGGTTGCTCGGTGTTATTAAATCATAAAGTGCATGCTGTAGTTGGTGTTCTTAGCGATGATACCGACCCAATGGTAACAGTAATGAAATTAGAAAAAGCCCCACAAGAAACTTATGCGGATATTGGAGGTCTGGATACTCAAATTCAAGAAATAAAAGAGTCTGTAGAATTACCATTAACACATCCAGAATACTATGAAGAAATGGGTATCAAACCTCCGAAAGGAGTTATATTGTATGGTCCTCCTGGAACTGGAAAAACACTTCTTGCAAAAGCCGTTGCAAATCAAACATCAGCTACATTTTTGAGGGTTGTGGGGAGTGAATTAATTCAGAAATACTTGGGCGATGGACCAAAATTAGTAAGAGAATTATTTAGAGTAGCTGAAGAACACGCACCATCAATCGTATTTATTGATGAAATTGATGCAGTTGGTACAAAACGATACGACTCAAATTCTGGTGGAGAAAGGGAAATACAAAGAACTATGTTGGAACTTCTTAACCAACTTGACGGTTTTGACTCTAGAGGCGATGTTAAAGTAATTTTAATTTATTTATTTGACATATATAAGTTATTAAAATAATGAAAACGCTTTAGGTTATCATGGCCACAAACAGAATTGAAACTTTAGACCCTGCTCTTATTAGACCTGGTCGTATAGATCGTAAGATAGAGTTCCCCTTACCAGATGAGAAAACCAAGCGCCGCATTTTTACTATTCACACATCAAGAATGACTTTAGCAGAGGATGTAAACCTAAACGAATTGATTATGGCTAAAGACGATTTATCTGGTGCTGACATTAAAGCAATTTGTACAGAAGCTGGTCTTATGGCATTAAGAGAGCGTCGAATGAAAGTTACGAATGAAGACTTTAAAAAGTCAAAGGAAAGTGTTTTATATAGGAAAAAAGAAGGTACACCGGAAGGACTTTACCTTTAAAAAAAAGCCAATTCAGTTAATATTAATTTTTAATTATATTCTTATCTTTTGTAGAGTCCAATAAAATTATCCTAATAAATTACTAAAATTTGGAAATTTTGCTCTTAATATTTCTTTTTCCTTATCCAAGAGACTATTATGTTGACTTGAAACAATGTCATACTGTAAATCTTTACTATTGTTACATTTAAAATATTTTGCCTTATAACGTTCATCAAACTTTTCTTGGCGGTATTTCTGTATTTCCCTCACTAATTCATCGTTATTGCTTTTACCAATTAACATTTTAGCAGCTGCTTCATATTTTGAGATTTCCAAAGCTGTTTTTAGTCCATCTTTATATCCAAAATCAAACCCTTTCTGAAACATTACTTCTCGTCCTTCTGTAATTCCGTCCGAATATCCCATCTAAAAAAAATTTCTTTCTAAATATTGAAATATCTACATATATCAATCCAAAAAGGAAAACTAAAAAATTTATTAATAAAATACAAAAGCTAGAAGCAAGAAACGGTTTTAACTGTGGGTAAACTAGGATTAAAATTGATGTTTGTACTCATGAACCTAAAGTACAAATAGTTTATTAAAGATGAATGTGCCCTGTTTAAATCAACAAAACAATGGTCACCACATGTTTTATTAAACTGTCAAAATTATTCTCATTTTATATGTTGTGTGAAGAACATTGTTTGCAAAATACCTTTGAAATTCCGGAGCTGACTTTATTTAAATTTAATTTTGCTACATTTTGAAAATCTAGATCATCCAGGTGAGAACTGCTTTCCATATTTCATTGACTAGTTAAAATCAAAATTATAATAAATTTGATTAAGAAAAATAAGATATCGCAAAAAAACAACAAGCTTTTGAATATTGCCAGCTAACTAAAAAAATTGAGAGCTGTTTAATATTGGCACATTTTAATAAAAAGTGCCATCAAAAAAAAGTGTGTTCAAACTCTAATGCTCTTGCAAAAAAATATACTCCCGATTCTTTAATTGTACCAAAATTGTGTATAAAATAAAGAAAAATAAAGTATCAAACTGTTATAATTAAATAAATATAAAAATTTTATTTACTCTTAAGTAATATATAAAAAGTTTTTTTTTGAGCACCAAATAAAATAAAAACAAATTTGAAAGATCTAAAACCCAAATTTAAATTTCTTTTTAACAGGACTTATGGGAGAATCCTCTGAAGAAATTTGCAATCGACTGCTAGCGGCAGTCAGTAGTAATCCGGCGGGAGTAATTAATGATGACGTTGTAAAGTTATCTAGTGATATAACAATAGAACAAAGAGTATCTGGTTTAAACAAGTTACTTCAACAAGGGCTGCTCGAGATTCTTCAAAAAGGAGATAAATTAGTATATAGAGCGAAAGACCCGAAAAAAGTTTCTCTACCCAAAGGTGCAGATAACGAAGAAAAGATTGTGTATGCTATTGTAGAAGAAGGTGGCAATAAAGGAATATGGATAAGAGACATACGCATAAAGTCAAATTTAAATATGACTCAACTGAATAAAATACTAAAAAATCTTGAGACAAAAAAATTAATCAAGGCAGTTAAATCCGTAAATGTAAGTCCAACAATAAACCAATTTTTGATCATTTTTATTTTAAAGTATTATGTGCATATATGTATATGTTAACAATATAAATTAAAGCATTTAATTTTATAAAAATAATCTCGTCTATTTCCTGAGTATTGTTATAAGAATACATATATACATATGTATGTATTTATATTAATTAAAATAACTGCTTAAATATTTTAGGCCAGTAAAAAAAAAGTTTACATGCTTTTCAATTTGGAACCCGATAGATCTGTTACTGGAGGGGCTTGGTATCAAGACCAAGACTTCGAAGCGGAATTCGTGGATGTTCTCAATCAGCAATGCTTAAGATTTTTGCAAATGAAGAGAGATTCTGCTTTAGAAAAACAAGAAAGTCCTTTAACTACAAAACAACTTGCATGTTGTTCTGTAAAAGAAGTTCATAAATTTATTTCAGATTTGGGAATAAGTAAGGTAAAACATACCAAATTCAAAAATTGTTAATGAGGAAACGAAATTCAAAATATATAATAACTGTCAAAAATTTGTTTTAGGTTAAACTTGACAGCGAAGACTTAGAAACCATTCTCAAAACGGTGGTATATGACGGTAGAGCAGAACGAGTACCATTAGCTGATGGGACATTTGCTTATAGAGCTATCGAAAATGCTTTGGGTCCACCAGGATTAGTTCAAATACCTTGCGGAATATGTCCAATAATAAAAAATTGCTCGGATTGTGGTGACGTAACCCCTAGAAGTTGTAAATATATGTCAGAATGGTTGGATTAATTTATACATAAAATGAACTTTATTAAATATTATTTTTTGAAAAATAAAGTAAATTATATTAAAATTTATGTTTATCGTATATTCTGCTGTTTTTCCGTTAATTTCGAAATTAATTTCTATTTTTAAAAAAGAATAGTCTGGCCACATTGCTTAGACGTGGCAAATGTCAACAAATTAAGTAGAGTTTTCAACTGCACAAATGAAAACAAACGTCACTAAATCACTACCTGACTTGTTCTATTATAAATTAATAAAAAAACTTGCATAGTATCAAACAGCTCAAATTTTTATTGGATAAGATATAAAAGAGTTTTAGATTTTAAATTCATTATGGGGCTCTGTAAATGTCCTAAACGACAAGTAACCAACCAATTTTGTTTTGAACATTGTGTAAATGTCTGTGAAAATTGTATGGTAACTTCTCATCCTAAGGTATACATTAAAAATGCATTTTATATGCTAAATCCTGTTTGACTTTATTTATATTTATTAGTGTATTGTTCAATCATATTTAAATTGGCTAAAAGATTCCGATTATGTGTCAATATGTTCTTTGTGCAATGGTTCTCTAGAAGATGGAGATTGTGTTCGTCTAATTTGTTACCATATATTTCATTGGAATTGTCTCAATGAAAGACAATCTGCTTTACTAACAACTACTACTTCAGGAACTCATACTTGTCCTATATGTTTTGAGACTATTTTTCCCCCAACAAATTTGGTTTCACCAGGTAATTCGATAAGGCTATAAAATTTAAACGTATTTTAACTTTATTCTTTAACAGTTGCTGATATACTTAGAACTAAGCTGAAACAAGTGGACTGGGCCAAAAATGATTTGGGTCAAATAACAGTAAATAGAAAAATAAAAGAAATATACAAATAATAAAAGAAAAAAATAATTTATTTTTAGTTTTCCGAAAATGCGGCTCCAAAGTCAAATTCTCAAATAGGACAGGCAAGTCAAGTTACGAAAATTCATGGAAATGCTGAGAAAAATAAGAAAAACAACGGAGCTAGCACGTTCTATAATAATAATAATCAAATAGCTTCAAATAGTCCGCATTCCGTTCTTTTAATGGATGCTTTCAATCCACCATCAACATCTGCAGATTATTGTAATACGTTGTTGTATAAAACTAAATAATTCGCATATATAAAACACAAATTATATTTTTAGCAAATAGCAGGCGATCTCTTTTATCGAGACAATCTTCTAACGGTTTAACAGATCGTGACGATAACAAATATAGAAGGAGAACCCCAGCGGAAATTTTTTCGCGTTGGTCTAGAAGATTTTACGCACCATCATCACGACCTCCTTGGAGGAGAACATGGTTTTTGGTTTTGCTTGGCTTTCTATCATTTATAATAATCGTCTACGTGATGGCACATTTTGGTCGTAGTTCTAGTAGTAATGAATCCAGTGATTATTGGGATAATCCAAATCCTAAACCAATGCAAGTGCAAAATGATCATTATTAAAATTATTTTAGGATAACTTAAAACAATATATTATTTTTTTTTATTCAATATTTTAATCACAATAAATAAAAAAAAGTTACATATTCCAAAAAAGAAATAATGTTTTATTTTTTAGCTATTTGAAAAGGAATAAAGCCATTCCTTTTATGTTGCATGTTGTTTTGTACGTACAAATTGTTTTAATATGCTATCATGCACAACCTCACAGGTAAAATACTTACAATGTATGTATACATATATTCAATTTTCTGGGATTATAATTTGGATTTCACACTTCTGTTCTTCAGCATATCTCTTAAATAACGCCTTAAAATTTTCCCGCTAGGATTTTTCGGGATTTCGTCAATAAATTGAACACCTCCTCGAAGTCGTTTGGCGGCAGAGGTTCGACTTTTTACAAAATCAATCACTTCATTTTCTGTTAATATTACGCCAGGTTGTTTAACAACAAAAGCGAATGGTAATTCACCACATTCATCATCAGGTAAACCTACTACAGCTGCATCTTTGATTTTCGGATTAGACAAAAGCAATGCTTCTATTTCGGCTGGCGGTACTTGGAAGGCTTTGTATTTAATGAGCTCCTTAATGCGGTCAACTATGAAAAATTCTAAATTTTCATCGTAATACCCGATGTCGCCAGTATGCAACCATCCGTCTTTGATTATAGTTTGGGTTGAATCTGCGTCTCCAATATATCCTTTCATTATGCATGGACCTTTAAAACATAATTCTCCACGTTTATTTGATCCCAAAATTTCACCAGTCTCGGTATCAATAACTTTAGCCCAATGTCCAGTAACTAGAGCACCAACACTTCCCGGTTTACAATGTGAATCATTTTGTGCTAAAAGGCTTAGAGTTGATTCTGAGAGACCATATCCTTGCCTTATAATGGAAATGCCAATTCTTTCTTTAACTGCATCCTCAACATCCTTGCTTAAAGGCGCCGCTCCACTCATCAAACCAACTAAAGATGACAAATCATAATTATCAATCATGGGATGTTTAGCCAAAAAAACCATCAGTGGTGGAACCATAAAGGCTAATTGAACACTATGTTTCTCTATAGCTCTTAAAAAGGCTTTTTCTTCGAATCGTGGTAGAAATACTAGTCTCATTGCAAAAACTGTAATCAGTATCAAACTAACGCAGCCATATGAATGGAACCAGGGAATTACACTCAAAAGCGTAAGCATTTCCAAAATCGAATCGGAACTTTAAATTAAATTGAATATAATAATATGTTTAAAATTTTGTTTGTATGTACATATGTAGGATTTACCTTTTTTGATCGAAAGTATATAAGATATTTTTCTGTGAGAGTTGTACTCCTTTTGGCATTCCCGTAGTTCCTATAAAATTTGAGAAAAGTATCAGTTTATTACAAATGTATTTTTATTTTCCTCATAGACATTAATTTACCTGATGAACATAATATCAAAAGCACGCTTTCATTTAAATCAGCAGGCTTAGGGTAATACTCTGCTTTAAAAGAGAATTGGGAGTCGTTCAATAATTCCCAAAACGAACTTATATTTCTATATTTAGAATTTTTGTCATATGCTACAATATTTTTCACAAATTTATTTTTCTGAAAAATCTTTACTATCTTGTCGAAAGCGAAATTTGAAGAAAATATAACTTTTGGTTTAGATAAATTAATAGCATGATCCAACTCTCCTAAAATATAAAATCATAAAAATTTAGTTAAAAACTTACATTTAGTAGATTTCAAGTAAGTGGATACCTATACTTATATGATTATCATTAAACAAAAAAGAGAAAAGAAAATTAAATTAAAAAAATATTATTTTCTTTTTTGTGAATATTTTTCTTGAGATTTTTGTACGAGTTCACATAAAAGATGTAAAAATGCATTAAAATAGAATGTTACAATTTAGCTTTCAGATGATATTAAATTGAACATTATATTTCACTGTACATGTAATAACCTGCAAAGTACACTTTTGAAATTTTTATTTTATAATTCGTGTAAAATTCATAAACTTGTGATTAAAATGAATATATACTTACGTTCGCTGTACGTTACATTTAATGGTGCGATTGTAGCATTTAAACAAAATGTAGCAAATAATGTTATAATAAATTCAACACGATTTTCACTGCATATTGATACAACATCGCCTTCTCCAATTCCAAGATTTTCTAAACAGTAAGCCATTTTAATTATATTTTCCCTTAGTTGTCTTGCAGTAAATTCTTCATCGGTCACTCCGTCAATCTTTTATCAATCAAGTAACAATTTATTTTTTCAATTATATATTTAATTGTTTAACATGTTCTAGAAATTTAGCTTACCAAAATGACCTTATCTTCAGCTTCTTTGAATTTTTGTAGAAAAAATTCCCCAAAAGATTTTGCATTTGATGTTATACTTTCTGAAACAGGTCCTCCATAAACCACATTATTTTCAACCGATGCCATGATTAAAGCCTTTCTTTCAACTTTAAAGAAAAAACACAAAATTTAAAGTGTACTTTTTTTTGCATTAGAATAGAGAGTAATATGTAAATTTCTTATCTAAAATAAATTTTGATACTTTAATCACAGTTCAAAGTGTATGTGCAAATTGGAGATATATAAGTAATTATGCATATAAGTAGTTTCTTGAAATGCGCGAAATGTAAAAAAATATTTCTTTATTTACTTTTAAATATATTATCGTATTTCTTATTAAGTAATACGTTATCAAATTTCTTATTAACACTTTGCAAATTTACAAAACTTGTGTCATGATCAAGATCTTGAAACAAAATTTTGTTTTGTAAATTTTTGATTAAATTTATCTGTAATAAGTTTTGGTTCATAAATATTTTTAGTTTAGTTACTTACATATTTTTCTCAGATTCAAATAAGCGTACTTAAACGGGTTGAAAATATTCTAAATCAAAATTTGTAGATTTGCTTGCTTTTTATACTCGGAAGTGTTTTTTTTACTTGGAGATTATAATATTATTGTATGCATGCTACAAATGTTTATAAAACATATGTAAGATCGCCGATTGCGTATAGGGTTTTTACACGTCTCGTTAAAAGAATACGGGAAATCTCTCCAAAATATCAATTATGACAACTCTGTTTTTTTTTTAATTTTGAAACATTTTTTTTTTGAATATATACAAAATTTTTATAGAAATAACGTTTATATGTGAAATTTTGTTTTAATAACGAAATGGTGTTCTGTATATTTTATATTTTTTATAATTTCATTAATTTTTACATGTACAACAAATTCTACGATGTTATCTGACTTTAATGAAAATCGAATGTGCAAACCTTGTTTTACATTCGACTTTGTCTGACGACAAATTAAAACTTATTCTATTATCGTTATATTTAACCTCAGATTTGTGAAAAGTGATTGTAAAAACATAACAAAAGCAGCAGAACGGCAAAATCAACTGTATCATATTTTGTATATAATGTCACCCATTTATGAAAACAGATAATGTCAAAAAAAGAAACAGCAGTAAAATAAGAATTTAAGCTACTTTACCGTCGGCGGTCAAATTTGCGGTGTTAATTTCATTTCATTTTGGTATATCATATGAATTCTGATATTTCGCCGCGGAAAATCGCTCTGTTTTGCTGTTAGCTTAAGTAGGTAACTTGTTACCACTGTTTCGGATAAAATTTTCTAGGAAAATTATAAATTGAATATTTTGGAAAATTTGTTTTGGATACAATTTTGTAGTAAAGTTATTAAATTTTGACATAAATTCTGAGTTCCACCAAATAATTTCAGTTTGATATTAAAACTATCATCAGTGTTAGATTTATATGTAAACAGTCATATATATAAACAGTGCCCTAGAAATAATACTTCAATGTATTAATGATACTATTATAATTATTCTTGTATGACTAAATTCCTGTCAAATTATGAAAATGAAAAATGTGGTGTTTTTAAAAATACGTTTAATTTTTATATTTAACCACTTTAAAAAAGGCAGCAAACGTGTTCCACGTTAAACAAGAAAACATCTCTTAAAAATATACTTGGGTTGAAATTGGCATTATGGAAAATTACGCACTTCATTCATAAATTCAATAATTTACAAAAAAATCTTTTTAAAAACGTCATTGGGGGCTACCTGATGACATTTCTTATTTCTTCTCAATGAGGTCACATTTGCAAACATTCATGGTCTCCAAACGACCTTATCAATTATTAGAGCACGATCTTTAATTTGACTTAAAAATTTTTGACATTCACTCTTCGAACAATGGCAGTACTTTATTTATGCTTCTTCATGTATCAATGAATTTCAGCCCTTCAATTGATAAAAATGGCTGCAGGTGAGGCTTTTTGGCTTTTTGGTATTTTGATTTAAAATTTTTATGTAAAATTTGAAAACTTTTAGACCTTTTTACAAAATATAATTGCACAAATTGTCAAGATGATATAAGTGGAATTCGAGTTCATTGTGCAGTTTGCAATAATTTTGATATATGTTTGCAGGTAAGTTCTAGGTTCTGGTATAGTAAGCCATATCATTTACATGGATGTAAGTATTATGCAGTACCAACATATATGAAAACGTAAATTTTAAATTTTTATTTTATAATGTATTTATTTCTATGAAATAGTTTTTATAAAATTTTAGTGAACGGAATATTAAAATTATGTTATCTGAATATTTCAAGTGTTTTGCTGCCGGTGCTGAAATTGGTGACCACAGGAATGATCATGCTTACCAGTTTATGGATACTGGAACATCTATTTTATCAATATTTCGAGGAAAAACTGCTTGGTCAGCAAGGGAAGAGCTACGTTTATTGGATGCGATAGAGCAATACGGTTTTGGTAATTGGGAAGATATTAGTAAACACATTGAAACTAGGAGTGCGGAAGATGCCAAAGAGGAATATGTAAACAAATATTTATTAGGTACAATAGGAAAACATACATGGATACCTGCGCAAACACAACGTCCTAAATTAATTGATCACACAGCTGAGGAAGATACTGGTCCATTAGGTAAGTTTAAAATGAAAAAAAAAAATAAAAAAGTAAAAATTTATATTAAGCTAATATTGAATTAGGATTTTCTCCTATTTCTTAAAAGTTTGTAAAGGTTAACTAAAATAGAAACTTATAGTTTTAGTTTAGTTCATGTTTTTCTGTCCTTGCTAACTTAGGTTTTAGGATTAAAAATTTAGGTTCTGACAATATAAAAGCCTATTTTTTACAAATATCTATAAAAACGAAAATTTATAAAATGACGAAGACTCCCAAAATAAAAGTAAACAAACATCTTAAATTCTATGTCAGAACTTTTGCAGAACTACAAATTAAAATTAACTGCTTTTTGCAGTAAAATTCAAAATCGGACTGAAATTGCATTTCTAATTTTCAATTCCAATTTAGAACTGGGAACATGACTTATATTTAATTTATATTCTTCCTATTTTTTCTCGGTTTAACCGAACTTAATAAAAAAATTTTGAATACCTACTTAAATTGTCTTAAAAGAAATGGGTAAGGAAAAAATTGACTAAAAAAATCAGTGGAAATTTCAATTTACTTTATAACTTATTACAATATTTTTTGTTACAGAAGTTTTTTATTGATTTTTAATATGAAAAATCTCATTTATTGTCTTGAATAGGAAATGATATTTTAAGACGACTACCTCCTCTAGATGTAACATTAGAAGAAGCGATACAATTGGGATACATGCCGAATAGAGATGGCTTCGAAAGGGAGTATGATCCTACCGCTGAAACCATAGTATCTTCTTTAACACTAAGTTCAGAGGATGTTGAAACGGATCTCTTATTAAAATTAGCACAAGTTGATATTTATACAAGACGTTTAAGAGAACGGGCACGTAGAAAACGAATAGTTCGAGATTATCAGTTAGTAGCAAATTATTTTCGAGGCAAGAGCATTCTGCAAACCCCAGCAAGAATGACAAAAGATCAAAGAGATTTTCGTGATAGATTTAGAGTTTTTGCACAATTTTATACTTCACTTGAATATGAACGCTTAATTAATTCAATAGAAAGAGAAAAAGATTTAAGACTAAGATTATCAGAACTAAGTCGCTATCGATGGAACGGTTTAACTAAAATTGACGAATGCGTACATTTTGAACAACATGCAGCAGCTTCACAAAATCGTAATACAGGACCATACGGACACGGAAGGACGGTAAGTTATATATCAAACTATAAAAATACTAATCAATTTAATTTGCAAATATTCAACTTTTCGTGTTTTATATTAATAAAATGAAAAGAACATTTTTTTTTCTTTAAAAACAAATCGAAAAAATTAAAACATGTAATTAACACGTTATTCAAATTTCAACGTAAAAAATTTAAAAAATGTTCTTTTCACTTTACTTTTTTAATTAACATTTTAAGTTAAATATTCAATTATACACAAATGTTGCATATATCAATTTTAAAGGCATTGTTGTGATATGAAGATATTATATTTTTAAGTTCTTATTAACTTTATCTAAATGTATTGAAAATATTTTTTGTTTTATTAAAAAGTAAAAATTTTAATGGACTATAAAAGTTTCAAAATTATGCTGTTGCGTAAAAATTTTCTAATAGAAATTGGGAATATTAAATGTTGGCGCGATCATTTCAGTTACCTATGATAAATATTATTCCTCACGAAAAGTTGAATAAAAATTTGTACCTGATATTTTCTTTCTAAAAATTATTAAAATTATCCGGTCAAATAGACAGCATTGCCTTCAAATGCGATCAAAAAAATTTTAAATAAATGAATTTTATATGCAGCTTGCGTGTATAATTGAATCTAATGGTCAACGAATAAATGGTTGTATTCGACAATGTTTAACAGGACAGTCAACCAATTGGAAACAGGCACAGATCGTTTTTGCCCTCGCAGCAAATAAAAACGTAAGTAAAATGAAAATTCATTTAGTCTTAAATATTCATTTAAAATAAATTTTATAAAATTTAAACATCTAATTTCAAATCTAATATTACATATTTGTAAAATTTAAAAATTTGCAATTAAAAATTTAAAATTTAATTCATTTTAGAAGAATATTGAAATTAAAAAATTTATTATTTTTTAGAACCGAAAACGGAAGCGAAGTAAAAAGCTTAAATTTCATAGAGCAAAAACACACGCCCCACATCGCAGACCAGCATTACTCAGACGGATTATTGCACAACAAAAGTTACTTGGATAGCTATCGGGGATTGTCGGGTCAATCGATTATGAATCAGCTGCCGACGACACCGACACAAATGCAGCAACAATATCAACAACAACCGGTAGTAAACACCAGCAACCAAGTACTTCAACAGGTACAACTTCAGCATCAAAACGGAAATGCAACAGGAAGCCAAATACAACAAAACAACAACAATCTCAACAATGTCAAATTAAACGATCAATCCGCAATAAGCCAACGTCCACTCAAACCTCAAATGAGTACAATACTACAAAATCAAATTCAGCCGCAAATACTTCAACATCTTAGTGCAAATTTATTATCGTCTAATGAATTACAATTATGCTCAACGTTAAATTTACAACCGACACGTTATATTTCATTAAAAACAATTTTATTAAGTGGTGTTCCAGCTAGTTCAAATTTATCTCCAATTGAAAATTCGATTAGAAAATATTTGATAAAAGCTGGTTGGTTAAGTCACTAATTTAAAATTTAAAAATTTAGTTTTAAAAATTTTAAATTTACAAAAAAAAATTAAAATCACCTATTAAATTATTTGATTTATTTAAAATCAAAAATGTATTATTGAAAATTTGAAAAACTAGATTCAATATTTTTTTTTATAATTATTCTTTAATTTTTAAAATTAAGAAATAATTTTAAAATTAATATTAAATTAAAAGCAATAAGCAGTATTGGTATTATATACAATTTATTTTTTTCGCTTATAATTTAATAATATTGAATTTGTTAAATTGTTCTTTTTTTTTCAAAAATAACTCAAAAGAAATAATTATTAAAACATTTTTCATGAAATGACTTCATGTAATTATTTTTCAATTTGATCAAGTTTTGTAAATTTAAAAGAAATAACAAGTTATGATCTTTTGTCATTTTTTAAAAAGAAATGTTTTATATATGGCTTAAAAAAATTTAATTAACGCTGTATATCAATAAAGCAGATAATCAGAAATATAGTTTTCAAATTATTTTAGGCCTTTAAAAAGATGTAAATTATCTATTGAAATTAAATAATTTCATCATATTTATAGATATTTTTTTTTCAAATATTTATTTGTGAATACATAACTTGTAAAACTAATTAATTAATAAATTCATTGTAAGAAAATTTTGAGAAAAAAAAAAACTATTCCTAAAATTTGTGGCATAAATATAGATGAACTGTTAACGTAATAATAAAAATTAAAGTAATTGTTAAATGAAAGAAAACCGAACACTTGTTCTTTTTACAATAAAATTCAAATAAAAACAATATTGTTATTTTTAGTATAACAATTGTGGTATATAAAAATAAAATAGCTTAAAAAAAATGTGAAAAAAATATATGAAATAATAAAAACTATAGATAAAATAATATTATCTTTTAAAAAAAATTTCTAAACATGAACAATTTTTAAATAATTGATTATATTTAATATTATTTAATAGAAAAAGGCCTTCTCTGTTATAAACAATATAAAAAAAAAAATGCGTTAAAATTATAAAACGTCTATTTTGATTAACGTAAAACAATTAAAAAGAGGAAAATCAGCAAACTTAAAAAATAAAATAAGCTATTTAGGAATATTTTATATTGTAAACACTATTAATATTATGATAAATTATTACAAATTATGTTATAGAGTATGTTATATTAGCAGAAAACTTAAATGTAAATATTATAATATAATTATAGTTTTATTTTTAATTTTAGTGCCGAGAATAAAACAGAAAAAAAGGAAAAATATCAAAGAATTCAATGAAGTTTTACTAATAATATTTTTGTTTTTTAAATTAAATCCACCTTTAAAGATTTTTTGTTTTGTTTTGTTGTGTAAAAATATTATTTAAAATTTTAATAAATTTGAATGCGATTAGGATCCAAAATTTTAATTTTAAATACATTGCCATATTAAGACAAAAAATTAATAATTGTAATAATTTAGCAGAAAAATAATAAAAACATTTGCATTCAATAAATTAAAAAGTTTTCCAAAAAGAAAATTCCCACTTGTTTTCTAAAAAGAACTAGAGCCTTACTCTGTATAAAAATTGTAAAGAATTGCCACTAAATTATTTTGACCGATGAAATGTTTTGATTTTAATTAAAGAATCAATTAATATTAGAAAAGGATCTTATTTTTAAAATAAATAAAATTGCAACATCGATTTTTATTAACAGGATGAACAAGAAACTTAACTTATGTGTCTCAGATAATACAAAATGAGAAAAAGTATGAAAAATGAGGCGTTCAGCTTTTACTACAATTGAGCAAAATAACATCGTTTTGGAAAATTTTAAAATTTTTGCAGTTGACAAAAAACATTAGAAATCTAATTACATATATATATATATATTATATGCAATGTAAATTTATATTTTATGTTGAATTATAAATAAAATTTGACGAATCTGTATTTCTTTATATAAACTTCTTCTACATAAAATTTTTAAGGAATTCCCGGAGAAATAAATCTTAAAACTGGAAAAATTTCTTATATTTCTAAATTATTATTTTCAATTTATTTATAGAACAAAAGCACTGTTCTTCAATCAAGTCATACTCGTATACCTTATTAAATCTATTTATTTTAAGTTTAAAGCCCAAGTAATGATTACGCATCAAATAACAAGCATTTTTAATTAAAGTAAATATAATTTATTTCCAATAATTTGATTTCATTTTTTAATCTTAAAATTATAAATAATTTACAAATGAAGTATATTATAATTCATACTCTGAATAATTTACAAGGTCGCAAATTTTTAATTTTTTTTTCAATTTCGCCGGAAAATTCTTAATATTTCAAAAGGTACTATCAACTCAAAATAACAAGAAATTAAAATGTTATGGAATCCCAACCATTGTTTTTTTTTTTCTGTTTTTTGTTCTCCTTAAACATTTATTTTTATATTGAGCTGAAAATATTTTTAAATATACTGTATATATTCTATTATTTTTATTTTTTCCTTAAATTAATTATCGAAGACTTAAATCTTAAACACGTTACATTTATCTTGAATTTTTGTTTTTTTCTTTTTTTTTTTTTTTGATCTTTAAAATATTCACAACACTTATGATTTTTATTCCAATATTAAGAAAATTAAAAATATTCGTTTATATGAAATAATTTTAAAAATAATAAAACAATAATATTAAATTTTTTTTTTTGTTTTTGTAAATAAAAAGGAAACAATAGTAATTAAAATTTCTCATATTTTTAATTCAAAATATTTTTTTTAAGAAAATTATTGCATGTTCGTAATAAAATTTTTTTTTTACAATTTAATTTATTTATTGCTTTTGATTTTGCTTAATATTTTTGAGTGTATAGAAAATTTGAATTTTTTAAAATACGTTCACCTTTAAAAAAGTATTTTATTCCAAATATAAGGGCGCTTTCTTTTCATACCAATAAAAAAAAAAAAATTATATTTCGTAAAAATTATCGACCATTCAAGGATTTTTTCGAATACGTTCACCCTTGTCGCATCACCTGATGTTATCCTGGATATTATTTAAAAGAATTTTATTTTTTAGTCCAAAAATTTCCAATTTTGAAATTAATTTCATTCAGAAAATTACAACAGTTTTAAATAATAATTCATCAAGTCAAGTGATCGTTGCACCACCGAGTCTAAGACAATATTTATTTTAATTGCTTCTTTATTTAATTTTTTTTTTTATTATTATATAAAATTTTTAAATCAATTAAATATTTTAAAATATTTTTATGATTGTATTCTAATCAAAAACTTTTACTAAATAATAAAATAAAAAATCTCAAATTTTTTGGTAAGAAACCGATCCGATATCCGATGTTAAAACCGAATATTTAGAATAGAATTTTGTTCAATCTCTTCTATATTATATAGTTTTCAAAGTAACTCTTATATTGTTCTATTATTTTAAACTTACTTCATATTATCAAATTTTTTAATTACTTCATTTTTGTGATTTTGATTACTCTGTAAGTAACAAATTAGTTTTGTCTTCAGTGAAAAGAAATAAGCATAAATATTTCTCATAGAGAAAATTATTTGTTTTTTTTTTTTTTTTTTTAATTTTTTTTTTCTTCCTTTTTTAAAGCCAAATCATGAAAAAAAAAAAAAAACTAAATACTTTACAATGATTATGATGTTTAATATGCAAAATCTATGTGTATGCATAATTAATTTATTAGTGATTTTTTTTTTTATGTTAAATTTAAGTTTTAATTACTTAATTAAAAAATAATAGTCTTAAAAATTATTATAGAAAAAAATAAAAAAATTAAAATATTGCTACTAATAAATATAGAAAATTTAATATTAAATTTAATTTAATAAAAATATATATACTACTTGAGTATCGAAAGTAGCACCTTTATAGAAATGAATTTTCTTTTTTTTTTCTCTCTTGCTTTGAATTTACGTTTTTTTTTTTTGTAATACAAGTAATATTTTTAAGTAAGTCAAATTAGTTGTACAAATTTTTTTTTTATTTTTGTAAAAAATTTGTAATTTTCGTTTGATAATAGCAATCAAAAAATGTTTACTAATTCTTTAAATTATTTAAACATTTGAATCTGAATTATAATTTTTGATATTTTTTCATTATAAAAGTCTACGTACAGTTTTTTATTTATTTTGTTTTTTCAAATAACATTTATTTACTTTATAATACTTAATTTAGTTAAAATAAATGAAATAATTTGATCATTTTGTTCTTAAACTCTAGAAAATTGTTAATAAAAATCTTTTTTTAAAAAAAAAAAAAATCATAGTACAATATTAGATATTTACACTGAGTCAAGTGTTCAAAATATCATAACTAAATTCTAATTTTTAATACAAGAATACAAAATACAAAAAAAAAAAATACAAAAATTTAATTTTGTTGTGGAAGCTGATGTTAAAGCAAAATACCAAATTTTTTCATTAATTTTTTTTTATTTTTGTCATAATTGTAAAATAATTTGTTTTTCATTAAATTTTCTAATCAATACAAAATCATTTTAGTTTTAAAGATGTACAATAATACATTACAGATTTATTTTTTTTTTTCTATTTAAAATTAATTTTAAAAATTATCATGAAATATAAAGTTGTTTGTTCTATTAAAATAAACGATTCATTTGGAATTAAGTTTTAAATTTGTTTTTTGTTAAAAAATTTTTTAATATTATTAAATTACTTATGTATTTCAAAGACATTGAAGGACGAAATTTTAAAAATTGAAAATCGATTTTGATTATGAAAAAAAAATATGCTTTAACTTAAAAGATTTTTAATTTTAATGTTTTAAAAAATAATTTTAAATTCTATATCAAAATAAATATAAATTAAACTCGACAATTCTACGTAACACGTATAAGGATGTAGTCAAATAAACCTATATCTATATTTTTTTATTACTCTTTTTTTTTTTTAATTTGTTTTAAGTGATGATATTTTTTTTTGCTTATTTCTATAATATAAATTATTGCACTAATTGTAAGTTTAATCATCTGACAATAAGCTGGTTTTTGTTTTTAAAATACTGATTTCATGTTAGTTAAATTACATTAAAATCGAAAATTGTAATTGTAGTTTATTATTATATATATTCAGTTTTCATTTTTTCTTTTTTGGAAATTTAGTGAAAAACGGTAATGAATATAGATTAAAAATCAAAATACAATATAATATAAATATTATAATATTGATTAGCATGAATTGTTGTAAAATTAATGTTTGTAAATAAGTACATGGCCAAAAATTATAATTTTTTGTTTCAAAAAAATTTTACTTTTGAAAAATAAATATTTAACATAATTAGAAATATCAAACTAATTTAATTTTTATAGTAAATAAATTTAGAAAATCATTTTGAATATACATATGTACAAACAATGGGAAGATAAATATATCAATAATTATTAATATAATTAAATAATTATAAAAATCTTAATGCGTATACGTGAAAAAAATTTTTAAAAATTTTCATTTTACAATATTTTAAATTACCGCTTTTCGCTATTTTTCTGAATTCTTTATACAGTAACTTTATATATATATATATATTTGTTTTTACAAATTAAGTAAATATATTTAAGATAGAAAATTTTTAAATTTTCTACGCAAATAAGTATAGTTCTTTTTTTACATTCATGTTATTATCATTATTATCCGAATACATTTAAAATTGCTAAGCTTTTTATTTATCCGCATAGGGTGTAATGCAATTTACGAACTTTACGTTTTGTTTTAAAATGATTATTTACAGTTAGCGATGGAGATGATGATGATGATGATGATGATGAAGATGGTGTTGATGAAGTTGATAATTTTAAAGATTTGTGATAAAATTTTTTTCTTGGTGGCCTTTTTTGTCACTTCTCTTCGTTAATAACAGACGAACTACAGTTTTCAACCAAATTTCCTGACATACGCAGTTGTTGCTGTTGTTGATGCTGTTGTATTTGAGCTTGCTGATGTTGTTGATTAGTTAAGTGTATATGTTGACAAAACGCTTGTAAAACTTCAAAATGAGTAACCAAATTTGCAATTGATGAATCAAAGTGCAAATGACGTGATATAGGTGCACCAAGCCGTCTTAACAAATCCGAAAAAATTTTTTCTTCTTTTCTTATCCACGGACGTCGATCATCCTGAACTTGATATGGTGTTACATGTACATGTATATTAATTCCTTCAAAGAGAAAAAAAAAAGAAATATGTTAGTATATTTTTGGAAATTAATGTCACTAAATATTTTGTAATATAAAAAAAATTTAATAAATTTCACCAGTAGGTGTTTTAAATAATTCAAAAACAATGATGTTTGTTTTACAACTCAAAAAGTTTATACCAACTTTTGTAAATTACCTAATCTTGTGAGTGTTTCTAATAAACTTCTTGAAGTTATCCAAGTATTTTTCTGCCCTCCGTGTCCACCATCAAGCCAATACATATCTTTTATTCGGGATAGTAACCTTATCATTGTGCTGTCATCAGGTGTCAAAGTTTTAAGGTAGTGAAATTCGTAAATAAACTATAAGTATGAAATTTTTTTTTAAGTATTTATTTGAGAAAAATTTAAATTATAAGTAATAATAGATAGATTATTACAATTGATTTTAACCTTACTTGATTGAGAACAACACAGCCTTTACTAAAGCCGATCAATACTAATTTTGATTTGTCTAAATTGAGATTTTCACGCCACCAAAGGGGATTTCTACTGTTTAGTAGGTTGTGGCAATCTGTATTATTAAATTGCAAATCATTGTTATGCATTAGTTCAGTCGCAAGGTTTGTTGTATGCCCAGTGACTGTATTTGTAATTGTAGTGTGTTGCGTTGTTTGCTGTTCTTGTTGTTGATGCTGTTGCTGAAGTGAAATAGTTGTTTCATTGCATGGAAATATCATAGCACCATCTGCATTTACTGTAACGGTTTCTTGAACTTGCAAAACGTCAATATCCATTTGATGCTGCATAATATCTGACGCATGTTCATTATTAATGCTTGAACCACTAGGAGAACCTGCATTTGCTGATGCTGCAACAGCCACAGCTGCGGCGGCTGCAGCTTGCGCTAATATTTCACTTTCTGGTATTTGCTTTAAACGAACTGATAAATTTTGCAACAATTTCTCCAAATGTTGTAGAGCGTGATTCATTGGAGTATGATCTGGTACACCAGCATTATTACCACGAACAAAATTATCGAAGCAGCTAAACGTTTTGAATTCCATTCTTAAAATATATATTTTATAAGTTTAAATAGTATTTTAAATATGCAAACTTTTCAATACAATACCTCACTGGTCTAATAATGATAATATGCGACCTAGGAAAAGCGTTTCTTAACAATACTGCCGAACTTTCTAAATTATATTTCATATAACCACGACTATCTCGATTAGTTTCCATACTTTCTGGAAAATCCTAATAACAAAAAATGTAAGTTAAATTTAGTATTCCTTATACAAATAAATGTTTCTTCAAAGACCCGTTTGATTGTAGTTAATTAATTGTAATACGGAATAAATTAAAGGTCTAGAAATGAATACTATTACAAACTATTACACTCTTTTAAAGAGTACTCATTTCTATCAGACCTAATAGAACTTTTGCTAATCAAACTACACAAAATAATAAAAAAATATTTGCAATGAAATAAGTTTTTTTGCACTAAGATTATAATAATTTGCAAAAATATTAATGTATAAATGTTTAAATGCATTGATGCAATTAAGAAAAACTTTTATAATTCGATAAGTAATTTTCTTCATGAAGAAACTATAAGATTTAGCAAATGTTGCTAATTGCTAATTTTCCAAGCATTCAATTAATATTAAATTATTAAAAAAAATCTTATTAGAATTTAAAACACTACAATTTTATTTACCTGAACATCTCCACCAAAATATACGATTGCTGTTGATTCTTCTTCATTTTGATTTAGTTGACGTAATATTGGGGGGCAATAGACAATATCATTTGTTCGATTTTGAAAGCCATTAACAGCAAATATACGGAAAGGTCCACCAGAAGTGCTTGGACTGCAAAAACGACCGGCCGTTCCGCCAAGCATATCAAATTATTTTTCTAGATTTAATATTTTAAACAATCTTAAAATCCTAATTATTTAATGTGCGTTAGTTTATCTAAAAATTATATTATAAAAACTTAAAAATTTTACACATAAAGCACTTTGAAAAATATAATGTTTTAAGAGCATTACGTCAACAAAATATTTAAAAATCTTTTATATATGTATAATAAATTAATATTTGAATTCATTTTTCAATATACGTTTAGTTTACACAATACTGAAGCTTTTAACTTGTACATTTGTCATATTAAAAAGTAAAACAATTATGAAAATCTGAAATTTCCACATTTTTTAAAAAATAATTTAGTAATAATAATAATTTTCGTTATAGTGTTCCCTACCGCAACACTGACCAAAACGAACTTTTAAATCTTCAATGGCTAATTTGAAATCTTCTTCCAATTCTTTGAATTTAACCCGAACTTCTTCTCTCATTAAATTATAACACATAGCAACCAAACTCATACCGATAAGCATATAAAGAAAATTAATTGCAAATTTAGTTTGCGAATCTAGTTCTAAAAATTCCTTTTCTTTTTCTGTACTTGTTAATTCAACGATTTCTGTAATATTTTGACTTTCGTTCGTCAGAGCGTTTACAATTTTAGCTCCGGGTACAAAATCCCCAAAACCAATTTTACATAAACTTGTCATACAAAAATAAATTGAATCTAAATAACTCCATTTCTCCCAATGTGCAAACATTGTTGTCCCAGTTAAAATATAAAAAGTTATAACCCATAAGCAAGCTGTTGATGGTACAATGATTTTTTTTGATGAATTAAAATTATCATCATCGTCATCGTCATCTGTTTTATCCTTATTATCATGTGTACATTCATGTATTGTTGTATACAAAAATTTAAATGATTGTGCCAGAACTTTTCCCATATTTAAAAAATATAAAATATATAACGGTATTCCAAAAGTTGCATAGATAACTGTAACACCTTTACCCCAAGGTGTTCTTGGCACCATGTTACCATAGCCTATCATTGTAAATACGGATAAACAATACATTAATGCTGCTGGAAATGACCAAATTTCTTGAGGAGTTCTGCCACTATAACCTTCTTTTATCAATTCTGTTATATTAAATTGAAAAATTTTCAAAATAACATCAGTTTCAGTTTCCCAATCAGAATGATTAAATAAATTATATTTAACAGTTACATCCCATAATTGTAGTGAAATATTTTTTCGTAAACGACTGGCTTCCCTTATTGAATCATCCTCGAGTTGCATTTCTATTGCTCTAAAACTAAGTGCTCCTACAATAGCGTAAACTACAATTAGAGCACCAACGCCAACTTGAGTACACATAAAAGCGACAAATTTGCGACAGCATTCTCTTACACGTTTTCGTGGATTACTAGCTGATGATGATGATGATCCACGACTACGTATCGAAGCTTTATGATTACGTCCCATATTTTTGTACTATGGATATATACATATATTTATATATTCAATATAAACAAATAAATTTCAATATTTTAACTAAATTTTAATACTTTAATTGCAATTTTTAATATTCAAATTCAGATGTGAAATTATTAATTCATTTTACTTAAAAAGTTAAAAATAATTTGAATTCTAAAAATAAATTTCACTCAATATATGAAAATTTTTCCAAAAAAAAAAAATAAGAAACGAAATGGACACACGATTTAAACAGATCAAGAATTTTCCAATAACTAAAGCAAAATCTCAAAAAATACATGAGCATATAGGAACATGAGAGATTTTTGGAAAATGAGTTCTTGTTTTCATATTGCTCTATGAAAATCATCTAATTTCATAAAATACGTAAATTTGTATGTATGTTTCATAAAATTAGTAAAACAACAAAAAATTTGTAAAAAAAATGAAAATTAATTTATGTAATAGTTAATTTATTATTGTATAAAAATAATCAATAGAGCACATTGCACATTATCTTTAAAGAAAATGTGAAAATTTATATCTAAAAACCTTAGATGAGAAGAATCCAAAAAAAAAAGAGTATTTTCGGAATATGAACGATGAAATAGAGAATAATTAATTTCTTTGAAAGGAAAAGAATCAAAAATAATTAAAAGTTAATTTTAGTCTTTGCCAATATTAAATGTACCTGTTTATCTTAAGTTAATTTTATCTCAAAACTGTTACTCGTTAATTTTATTGGGCTATTATAAAAGAGTAGTATGTACTTTGAAATTAGTACCTACATATTTTATCTTTTCAAAGATCTTGCCCAGGCCTTGAAGGACCAAGTTAAAAAAAATTGTCGAAACTAAAAATCAAAAAATATGCAATGATTTTCATTATTGATCTGCCATAGCTAGATCGAGTTGTACTTTGATTCTGAGCACGAATATAATATATTTTATGGAATTGTATATATTATGTATATAATATACCTAGTGTTTGATTCTTGCTGTTGCATATATTACAACAAACTTAATATGTATACTCCCTGTATAAGCGAATATATTAAACCAGAATGCACACAGTGCAGCCTACACACCCAAGCACACAGTGCACACTAATGGTTTTAATGCACTTAATTTTAAATAATAATACATAGTTTAAATATTCTTCTTATTGTAGTTCTTATAATTGCACATTATTTTAAGATAGGTTTTTAACATATGTAATAAACTTATAAAACAGTGACTTATAGAACTATAAACTTAGAATGATCAACTATTAACTAATTTGGAGATTTATTTCAAACTTTAATTTGTAATTTTTTGCATGAAAAAATATAAGAAACCTTAAGCAGCAAATCAATAATTCTTAAACATATTATTAAATTGACTCATATTCATTTAGGGTTTGTCGTTCATGGTTTTTTTTTAATTAGCAGACGTGGTAATAACAAGAAAAAGAAAGAGGAATGTTACTACATAAAATTAGGCTATCGAACAGAAATTTATACAAGGTAAAATAAGGACTATATATTTAACAGATATTTTTTAAATAAGAATGGAAATAATAAAATCCAGCAAATTTTTTAAATAATCCATTTTTCAAGGTACCCTATCATTTTATTTAATTAAATTTAACATGATGTTACACAAAATAATTGCATTATACTTAGGTATACATATCTCAGTATGTACCGAAAATTTTGCAGGAACTCATTTAAATATTTTTGATAATAAAAATAAATAGATTTGTTAATACATTTTTGTATGATCTTGATTTGACTTAAATTTATCTAGGTAGGCAAGTATTTCATTTGTACATTTGCAATTAATCGAATCGCTACAAAACAATACTGATTTTATTTTTACATACATATGCGTTTTTTTTTTTACATTTACTTATATGGTACCTACATACATCCAATATATTCTTGCACCAATTTATTCGAGCATATTAAATGCATTCAAATACTGTTTATTAAGTAATGACAATAATGTTGATTCAAATAAGAATTTAATAACAAATATGCAAGTTACACAAAATCGAATTTTAAAAACTTAAAAAATATGTTTAGTAACTTTAAAATAATGAAAGTTTTTTTTAAAAATATTAAGTAGGCATATAAACTTTTTCTAAAAATTTGATATTTATTAATGTAACCTCACAAGAATGATAAAAAAAAAAATCAATAAAATTTGGCGGTGAAAATCTTTTGTTGCATATTTCATTGTTTTTTATAAGACATTTTTGCTAATAAAAAAGCACAATTTATACTTTTATTTTTATTATAATTAAAATAGAAATACTCGTAAAGTTTAGAAATATTAAAATAATTTCTAATTCAAAAACAATTTTTGAATAGTAAACAAACTTTTTGTATATAAACTAAAGCCAAACAATATTTTGTTGACGATGATATTTCGCTTCATTTTTCATTAAGTAAAATCTTACCCTTACTTTTTATACTAAACTTCATTCAATCGAAATAAATTTTATATTTTATTAAAAATCAAAATACTTTTAAGAATTTAGAATTCAAAATTTACAAATAATAAATTTTACCAATTTTTGTATCACATAATTAATAATTTTTACTTCTTTTTCAATGTCAAAAAAATTTCAATATGGAGAACCGAGTGAAGCTGATTATACAGCTTGTAAATAAACAAAATTCGCCGGGGCTGCTTTTACAACTTGCAAATAAGTTGCTAGATTATGAGTCGCAGCTAGTACAATTTGGTATTTGTGGAGTCGGTATGATGAGTCGTTATTAAATTAGTCTAAAATGTTTGATACAATTTTCTAATTGTCCACGTTTTGTGTGGTTTGATTTAGTATCATTCATTTTGTATGACGTCTGGTGGATATGATATTATTATATAAAAAAATAAAATTTTATTTGGTGTAAAAATAAATACATAATTATAAAACATTATTATATAATACTAACTATCTAAAACCTTATAAAAAACAACCTCGTGCAATTTTTTGGCAAGTTTTATGAATTTTAATATATACTTTGACGTTGTCAAAAAATAACTTGCTTTTAATCAAGTTATTTGAAAGAACTCATATGGAGTATACGAGTACAATCTTCAACGTTATTAAAATTAAACATAACATACAACAGGTGAATATTTACGAAGATTAGCATGGAAAAAAATATAAAATAACATTAATGACATATTCTTAATGTATATTTAACAGTTGTTTATTATACAATTAAAGTTATAAACATTATCAGAATTCAAGGATGCACTTTATTTCATTTAATTACATATAAGACGCGTAATATTTATGCAAGCTGTCAAATATTGTAGTGCATCTTTGTAATTCAAACCCTTCAAAATTCTTTTACTTTTTAATTTTGAACCTGCAATCTGTCTAAACATACGACTTTACAGCAGATTTATTACAGTCTAATTTTAATGTGTTGCTTTGTATCATAAAATTTTTCAAATATTTACTACACTAATTGTAAAAATTCGTCGAACGAACGTCCAACTTCAAACAGTAGCTGAATTGAAATTAAACTTTTTTGATTGATTGATACTCATTCAGCACAACCCTAAAATTAACGTCATACTTTAGAAATTTAGAAAAGATTGAAAAAGTTGTTCTTTGATTATTTTTGAACAATTTTTTAATTTTCTGAAATAGGATTATAAAATAAAAAAGTGTTCGACTAACATTCCATTAAAAATTTGTTAAACATAATTTCATTGTTAAAAATTATATCGAATGTAAGGCTTCACTCAAAATAACAGAAAATAAAACCGAATAGAAGTAAAGGCATAAAGTAAAAGTTTAAATATAGAATTAAAATTTTACCAAATGATCCGTGGACCTATTTGAAAAAATGCCTATAAGAAAATATCGTCGTGAAACTAGTGAAATTAGTTGTTGTTTGAAATACGTTATTTTTGGATTTAACGTTGTTTTTTGGGTAAATATTTTTAATAAATTCTATTGCATAAATATTTTGAATTGTATTTTCATCAGGTGAGTGGATTAATTGTTTTAGCAATTGGAATATGGGCATGGACAGAAAAGGATATTAATATAACCAAATTGAACTTTTTATTGTTGGATCCAGCGTTTATTTTAATTTGTTGTGGAACAATAACTTTTCTAATAGGATTTACAGGAAGTGTTGGTGCTTTACGAGAAAATACTTGTTTATTGGGAGCGGTAAGAAAATTTGTATAAAGGCTCAATATTAAATTTCATCTGCGTATGTATTTTTTTTTAGTATGCTATATTTCTTTCGGTGTTGCTTATTTTAGAAATTAGCCTAGGGACCCTTGCTTTTATATTAAAAGACAAAGGATGGGTAAGATTTATACTTAATTAATTGTCCAAAAATGTATATTTATTTTTGCTTATGTAAAGATAAAAGACCAGGCAACGGAAGGACTACGAGCTTTTATAATTCATTATCGAGAAGATCCTGATCAACAAAATCTTATTGATTGGATCCAAGAAGACTGGCTTCAATGTTGTGGTATTGAAGGACCAAAAGACTGGGACAGTAACAATTATTTTAATTGCTCTTCGATAGCTATTGGTAGCCGGGAAGCTTGTGGTGTTCCATTTTCATGTTGTAAACGTCGTCCACATGAATTAATAAAGAATAAGCAATGCGGCTATGATGTTAGAAAAGAAGGATATGTAAGTACATAACAATGTTTTAATATAAATAAAACTTTATGTTCGTTAACATAATAAATTTTTTGCTTAAAAATAACTCTTTTTTTTTTTTTAAATGCACGCATTGCATTTTTAATAAATGGTGTTTGGGTAAATTTTAAATTATGTAATTATAAAATTCTTAAAAGTAGCCAGCCGATCGAAGCATTTATGAACGAGGCTGCTTAAGAGCGGGTGAAGATTGGCTAGAAGGTCATATATTCCCAGTAGCTGGTGCCTGTGTTGCCGTAATGATAATACAGGTTATCTTTGATTACAATACTCATTGTATAATTTTTGGTTAGTTATTCCTTGTGTGTTTTGTTCTTTTTTGGTTTTGTCAAATAAGTATTGGTATTTTACTAACTAACATATTCTTAAAGTTATTATTTTCTTTACTTTTATTTATTCTTTTCATTTTTTATGTTTGTTTATATTTATTTTATTGTTAGAACAATGATGTATCAAAAATTATTTATGAAACTGGTTGCGTTCAAGCTGGAGAAGATTGGATAGAAAGAAATTTAATAATTATTATGTCAGTTTCAGTGTTTTTAGTTTTTGCCCAGGTATTTTAATTTATTTTAATATTGTTTTTTTTTTTTAAATAATAATTTAAAATTTAAAATCCTTATTCAAATTCATACTTTTATGTTTTCTTAATTGTTTTATATTTTTAAAGATAATTCGAAATTTTTTATCTAATATATATATTTTTTATATTGCAGATATTGGGTATTTGCTTTGCTCAAAATTTAAGAGCAGATATTTACGCTCAAAAATCTAAATGGCACTGACACTTAACTGCCCCTGTCGCTGTATAAGTTTTTAAATAATAAATAAATGAATTTCATTGTACCAATGAATCTCTGTTTTATACCTATTTTTTTACCAAGTTTCTTATATTTTAAAACTATGTTATTATACGAAAATATGTTAACATGAATTTAAAACTCATCTTGTACTTACATACATATTATATATATAATAATTTTACTAATTAAAAAAAAATAGAATAAGATAAGAATAATATGTACAATTCTAATAAGAAGTTAAAAAAAACTTATTATAATTTTATACTCACACAATATTTTTTTAATGAACATATCATAGCTTTAATAATACAAATTATTTGAAAACTATTATTTTAGAAAAATAAATTTTATATAAAGTTATATGCTTATGTATACTACATATTTTCCAGATAAATAAAATTTTTATTTTAGTAGCTATAAAATGAAAACAAACATAATACTCGTTTATTTTTCTGTGATTTAAATATTAAAAAATATATATTGAATATGTTATGTAAAAATTTTCTTGACAATAGGCAAAGTTTTTTTTTATATAAGCTTTCTTTATAAATGTGACCAATTACGAACACTATACAATTTGTAATCTAAATTGAATCTTACTTTGATACTGATTTTACAATCAAATACATATTATAAAATTCAAATTATTTTAGTTTAAAATCATATTCATATTATGTAATGTTATAATTTAAGCTTTAATTTTTCTAAAAATATTTTTATCTGAATTTAGGCATTGTGTATGTAGTAGATAGTAATAAGCTCCTATACAAATTTTATGGGTTTAATGTCGGCTTAATGTCAAACAAATTTTTTTTTTTGGTATGTTATGCTATTTTTATTTAAAATGTTGTTAGATCCATATGTGATCACTTGTTCTAAAGTTGTATAAAGCAGGTATGAATAAAGAAGTAATTTTATATGGGAGCTCGTCACTGTATACAATATACCCCATGTTATATGGTTAGATTTATTAAGATACATTACGAAAACAATGCTTTTAGCTATTAAACAATCCATCAAAATACTATTGGTACAATTGTATATTTCATCAGAGAATTTTAAAACGATAGGGGCATTAAACTTGTATTTCTATTATTAAAATACACAAGAATATATTTGATATACTAAAAAGACTAATAATTTTTAACCGTTAAAATAAAAATAGAAAAATTTGCACTTACGTTAAATTAAAAGCTCAAATTTATTAAACATTTTAATCATGAAATAAAATAAATTACAAAGTATTGGGATAAAATTTTTTTATACCTCATACAACATATGTTATTTTTTTCGACTAATAGATATGTGCAAATTTTTCATTAAATAAAGCTTTTTCAAACAAAAAAAAAATATAATTTTAAATAAGCGGAATAAAACATACGTTAAAAATTTTAAAATTAATATAGATTTAAGAAAATATAAACAATAATTAATGGTAATTGTCGTATAATGTGTAAGTTGTTTTAATAATTTTATATAATTAATGAAGGGTCTTAGTATAGATTTATTTTTTATTTTACAATCTATTATCGCATTGTGATCGTGTTTTCTAAGTTAAGAAATCTAATAAAACAAATTAATCAAATTAATATGTTGTTTAATAAAAATTCTATACATTTTATTTACATTATTTACATTATATTAGTTTTTAACTAAAAATATTAAATTGTAACAATAAGAAAATAAAATGATTTCTTATACATTTGATTGTGTTTTGTATTCATTTCTGGTTTCAGAAGCAATGTCGAATTCAATGCATTTCATTAAAGCTTCAATTTCCAAATTAAATAAATTTTTCACCGAATATACCTACTTATTTGACGTAATTTTTTTTCTTCATATTCCATATAAAAAATAAAACACCTATGCAATTTTTTAATTCCATTCTTTACAAAAAAAATGATCATATATTCAACATTATTGATTTTACTTTTATGAATTATAATAAATAATAAATGCATTCTTTTAATTAAAACTATATTTACATAGAAAAAGATACATCTTAAATCCGTAAACAGTAATTATTTAAAATATATATCTACATAAAATCTAGCAATGGTGTTTACATTCTACAGCAGATTCCCATTCATCTGATCCGTCACAGCAATCGCAAATTCCATCATTTATACGACTACTTGGTACCCAAACATCCAAACCTCTTCCAGTGATATGTCTTTTTTGGTATTTACAGCTTAAAAAAAATATAAGAATGATGAAATATTAACAAGCTACGGGCTTCACTAACATTTTTTTTGAAGATTTACTGATTAAATTATCTTGTAAGTGGTTTTATAATAGTTAATAAACAGTGGCTTTATAATATGGCGTAAACACTGGTTTAATAATAGTTAAGGCCAAACGTTTTTATATTAATATGTTCAGAATTATTACTTTTAGTATTAAATTAAGTTTTCAATAACATTAATAATTAAAGTAAATAAAATAATTTACTAAAATTTGCATTAAATAAATTATAAACCTAATTTCCTAAATTTAACACGTAAGTAATGCTGAAATGAAAGATTCTGATAGAATCTAATGAAAAAAAAAATTATAGCAATTTATAAAATATTGCAAAACGTAAGATTAAGAGTAGAAATTTAAACCAATTCGAAACGTTTATTTACTAAATTGAATTATAAACGTTTTTTTTATTACTTTCAAAGATTAAAAACGAAATTTTTGTATTTTGGTATAGGTATTTTGTTTTGACTAACATTTGAGCTCAACCAGCAAAAAGCGGAAATTTCTTAATATTCTTAATTTTTAATTATAGTAAAAAATTTAGATTTCTACATTATAGCAAAAAAAATCTTAAATTTTTAAATTATTGTAGTACATACTAAAATTTTCCATTAGCACATGCATTTGTCGATGGTTCATCGCTGCCATCGGAACAATCACAATAATCATCATTTAAATATTTATAAGGAATTGATTTACTTCCATCTAAACAATAAAAGGAGTTATCGAAATTTTTTTTATAGGAATCATAATCACGAAACCGAATCCCCCTAAAATGAAAAAAAAAAAAAAGAAAAATAATAAAATTATTGATCCTTTATTTTAAATATTATATAAATTTTAATGTGTAATTCAATTTTAATACAAAATTTAAATAACTCTGTGTTGTCTTCTCATAGTACCTGGTAAATATGATAAAAAAAAATTGGTAGGTAGGTAGGTAGATACCTAGGTATACTTTTTGTTTGATTAATAATTGTATGTATACAAAACACAAAATCTATTCAAAAATAACAATGACTAATATATCGCATTCTGGAAAACCCTGAAAAGCGCTGAGATCCGGTAATTTTTTTGTGTGCAAAATTGAATTAGCAAATATTTAGCACTTCAATAACATTTCATTCTTCTTATTTCTCAATAATAAAAAAGTTTTCAAGTTAAAAATTATCAAAACATTGTTTATAACTTTTTTTTTTGTTTTTATTTTTATTTTAAGAAATTATTGATTCATCAAAATAAGTTAAAAATGTTAACGTAGACAAAAATACATGTTTCAATTTTGTTTATTTTAATAATATATATGGAAAACAATAATATTATGTTAATTAGGTACATACCTAATGATGTGGAGTTCAATTTCAGTCTCTTTAATATATTTTGAAGACGTTGAAGTAAAAGATAAATCTTTATAAATAGAACTGGCATTCATATTTAAAGGTGTACTTGTAATTGGTAATTGATTAATATAAATAGCTTGGTAAATAAAAAATACGATTCCTAATAAAAATATTAACATTAATATCAATTTAGTCTTTTGTTTATAAAATGGTTTATAAAACATATTTTCTCTTTTAATATAAATCTTCTTCATATTTTTTTATATATGTATATTGTCTTAAGGTGAAAACTTGAATTAGATTAAAAAAGTATTTTAAAAAAACATTTTTAGTTTTAGTTATTAATAAATAAACTTATTAATGAAGCTGTAAAGAACCACTTAAATCACAACTCAAAAGTTTTATTTTTTTTGGAAACAAAAATAAAAGCTTTGAGACTTTTGAGAGAACATCGTCTAATAAACTGACGTTTCAATTGTAAATAGCAAATGCCAGTAAAAATTCAAGTTGGCTTTTCATTTGACAAAAACAAATAAACAAAGAAACAAAATCTTTTTCTTGTATCACGGCTGATATTTTTGTAATGTCAAGTTTTGTATCAATTTTTTTTTTGATAGTGTTAGAACTTCTACATAAAAAATATACAGGCCTAGAAATTGAAGGAGGATGGCGGATGACTTTCCAATAAGTTTGAGAAATGGCGATTTAAACATGCCTTGTGAGAGTCAGAAATAAAGGCCATTTGCAGTAGTAATCTTAACTAAAGTCGGTTTTACTTTTTTTTAGCAGAAACTCTCATAATTCATCTTTTTCAGTTCTAAGTTAGAATTGTATTCGCAGGTCGTCAGATATTTAATTTTTTTTTGCATAATTTTCTTTTGTTTTTACAGTTGATGCAGCAAATAAGCATTTTTATTAGCAGTACTACTTTTTCGCAGTATGATTCTATTCTAAGGTCTGAATTGATAAGGGCTGCCAACATGAACTCGATCTTCCTCTAGTTATTAAGGTACATAACTAGAGTAAGAAACTGCTTTAGTTATATAGGAAATATACCTTGATTAAGAAACGACATAGAAGATTTATCTCAGATCTGCCGTCATTTTAACTACAATCGCTGGTAATAAATGAGAGATAAAGAGCTGAATTTTAAAAAATATTTAAAATTCGGACCGTAGAAACGTGAAAATAAGTATAATAGATCTTTATGCATAAATAATAGTTCATAGGTACGATTAAATTTTCTGACGATTAAACAATTCTGAATTATGTCAAACTTTTCAAGCTTCACATACGTGCTCTAAAAAACATGTAACTTCAGGGAAAATGAAAACTGAGCGGATAATCACCACTCTTACATGACAAATTTGCAAAATGTGTTCCGTCATGAATCCGGATAGTTCCTGAGGAAAAGTTTATTCCAATTTTTCCAAAACCATCTAGTAAAAGAAATCGTTAATTTATTAATCGGTAACACACGATTTAAGTTCAATGCTTTTTGAGTATTTAATAAAATATATATATGTAAGTTTTAGGTGCGCGTACAGGGTTGAAAGGGAATTATAATCCGAAACCATTACTATAACGATCTTGTATATTTTTGTACTATTTCCATTACTCAGATGTTCAGTCTCTTAAATAAATTTTTGTCTAAAATTGGAATGATAATAAGATGAAATTTAGATATTAAATTTATTTTATAAAATATTTTTGACTATTTGAAATTGTTATACTCCTAGCAATTTTTTTACTTCATTTTTATATTCCACAATGTTTTCTTCGCATTCTACGTCATTTATGAAATTTTCTATGCTCTTAGCTAAATCCAAAGTAATTTTTGGTATAACAGTTGGATTATTTTTCTTAATTAGCTCTATTATTTTTTCAATAGTTTCTTTAGATTTATTTCTACTGAATTCATAACTAATCATATCCTTTTCTTGTTTCAAATTTTCCCACGGTTCAGAGACGTGCCTAAATCATATTTAAAAATAAATTAATAAAATTTCTGTAAAAGCATTTCAAACTTACGATTCGAAATAACATGCAGTTAGTATATATAGACAGAAGTTGAAATTTTGTATTTTTGCTGGACATCTATCAGAGGTGATCGTTATTATATCAGTATCTGGATTATAATGCTCACCCAAAAGTCTTAAAAATTTATCTTTTGAACGTGCGTCAAATTTTAACGAAGACATTTTTATTTTTAGTGTTACAATTCTAGATAATGGGTTTCTAATTGTTGGTAATCCGTGGCAGTAGTCGCTAGTAATTACTTCAATCGGATACAAATCTTTCCATTCCTTTTCATTTGGTATTTCTTTTGGCCACTGCGTGCAGTATGGTTTTATGGCCTCACAATGCTTTTTAATAGCCAAGGGCGTAAGATGTAAAAAATTTGGTATTTTCATTAATTCAGCATTAGCAAATTTTGATGGCGGAGCACCTTTTTCGTTGAAGCCCTGACGTAATGGTAAAGGAACTGACGATGGATGAAAAGTTTTACTACCGGGCCAAACGGAGGTCCAATCTTGATTTTCCGACATTTTATCTGTTCTTGGACCTATAATTGTATCAACTTTCTTTTGTTTCCTTAATCTCCGCGTTGAGGTTTGCTCAGCCCTCAGATTTAGTACACGAAAATCTAAAATATTAAAAATATTGCACTTGCTGAAATATCAGTGAACATGTTAACCAATTTACCATCTTCTACAACTTCGGAATAAGCTCTCCTTGACCCAATATTGCTTTTAAATGGAAAATATTGGAATATTTTTCGCTGCATAATTGAGTGTGCACTTATATTGCATGTAATTAAAGGCAAAATATTTGTCGTAAATCCACACTAACCTTTGTTTACTAAAAATATGAAGTTTGTGTTGGTTTGTCAAAACCATGAGTGATGAGAACTGTCTATCATAGAGTTACCAGATATATTAAAAATATTTTTTAATGTAGTAGATTTTTATCTTGCTCTTATTAGAAATGAGTTTCAATTTTAAAACATCAATTATGATGAAATTTAATATTACTTATATTAGATACCAATAGTTGAAGTGAATGAGCATATCGAATAACTGTAGCTTAAAAAGCTTATTGTTGCATCGTTCAAAAATCATAAAAACTCCGCTATATCTTTGCTTGGTTTGAAGCCATATTTCAAACCATGAGTTAAAAATTTCAATCACGTAATCCTCGCCGTGTGTCCTTTCAAAAGTATGGGTAGTTTTTATGTGCAATTGTTTCGCCGTTATTGTTTTTTGAACTTCATTTAAAAATAAGAATTGAGGTTCATTGGTTTTAAACCATAAATTTTTTTAAAATACGTCTATTGCCTTCTATGAATGCAATTGCAATTTTAATATGGGCGCATAATATAAAAAGACAATTAATTTTGTATTCAGTTTTAAAATTGAAGATTTTGTATTAGAATGGATCTAATTCTTAGAGACAATATATAACCAGTACTCAAGACGGAGCATCCCTACGTACAGTAGGATATTCTTATTCTTAGCAAATAGGCAATACCTACTCTTATTTAAATATTGTGAATTTTTTAACATCTGGTTGTCAGGTTTGACAATCTTAATAGTAAATTATTTTTTAAGAACGTGTTGGCGAGTTTTCGTATAATATTACCTAAGGTTGGTGAAATTATAAGAAATGTCTATAAAACTAGTAGCTAACATAAACAATCCCCCAATTAGTAAGTTTTCAAGTAAAACGTATTTCTTTATAACATAACTATATATTGCAAATATTTTTTATAGGTGGACTAGCTACTGCTCATCTTATCAAGGAAACTGTTCCGATTGATATTATATGGGGTCAGGAGACTTCTTTGACTTTTCCTGATAAGACAAAATTCATTTGTTATTCAAATAATGATGTTTTACGTGCCTTAGCTCGATTTGCTCCCAACTACTGTTTGTACGGTGAATCTGCTGTTGAACGAACTGAGATAGATCATTGGCTTTCATTCAGTTTGACATGTGAAGATGATATTTCTTGGGCATTATCTTATTTAAATAAATCAATCGCTCCAGTTACGTACCTTGTAGCCAATAAATTAACAGTGGCAGATTTTGCTTTGTTCAATGAAATGTATTTGCGATATGAATTTCTTTCAAAACAAAAAATTCCAGTACATGTTCAAAGATGGTATAATTTAATAATGGCACAACCATTTATCCAAAAAGTCCTGGAAGATTTACCAGCTGAAGCTAAAGCATCTTTAAAGAAATGTCCAAAACGAAAGCCATCTTCTCCAGAAAAAGAGAATAAGTCAATTGGAGAAAGAAAACAAGAAGGCAAATTCGTAGATTTGCCGGGCGCTAAAGTTGGTGAAGTGGTTGTACGCTTTCCACCAGAAGCTTCAGGATATTTACATATTGGTCACGCTAAGGCTGCACTTTTGAATCAATACTATCAGGAAGCATTCAAGGGCAAGCTTATCATGCGTTTCGACGACACAAATCCGGCTAAAGAAAATGTTGAGTTTGAAAAGGTTATATTAAAAGATTTGGAAATGTTAGAAATAAAACCAGATGTTTTTACTTACACATCTGATTATTTTGACCTTATGTTGAAATACTGCGAAAAATTGATAAGTGAAAGCAAGGCTTACGTAGACGATACAGAACCAGAAGAAATGAAAAAAGAAAGAGAACAAAGAATTGAGTCAAAAAATCGCAATAATTGTAAGTTTAAAAAAAATAACACAGATACAAGAATTTGATATTCAAAATAAATTAAATTTTCTATAAAAAAAGCTGTGCAAAAAAATATGGAAATGTGGAATGAAATGTTAAAAGGTTCCGAAAAAGGTAAAAAATTCTGTGTAAGAGCGAAAATTGACATGTCATCAGCAAATGGGTGTTTACGTGATCCGACTATCTACAGATGTAAAAACGAACCGCATCCCCGGACTGGAAATAAGTACAAGTAATTATTTATAATTTTCATTAAATAACTGATGTTGACTTTGAAACATTAATTATTTTTTTTAGAGTTTATCCAACATATGATTTTGCTTGCCCTATTGTTGATGCTATTGAAAATGTTACCCATACCCTTAGAACTATGGAGTATCATGATCGAGATGAACAATTTTATTGGTTTATCGACGCGCTTCAGCTTCGTAAACCTTATATCTGGGAATATAGTCGCTTAAATATGACAAATACCGTTTTATCAAAAAGAAAATTGACTTGGTTTGTGGATGAAGGATTAGTTGATGGCTGGTAGTGTTTATGTTTTAGGTTTAATTAAAAATTTTTAAATACATTTATTTCAAGGGACGACCCAAGATTTCCAACAGTTCGTGGTATATTACGTCGTGGAATGACGGTTGCAGGACTTAAAGAATTTATAATTGCACAAGGATCAAGTAAATCAGTTGTATTTATGAACTGGGATAAAATATGGGCTTTTAATAAAAAAGTAATTGATCCAATCGCTCCACGATATACCGCTTTAGAAATTTCCAATCATGTTGTTATAAATGTAGCAGGAACAGAAAAAGGAGTGTTTAGTGTAAACGCTCATCCTAAAAATGATGATGTTGGGAAGAAATTGGTTCATTATGGACCACGAATTTTAATAGATTATGTTGATGCAGAAATGTTAAAAGAAAATGAAAATGCTACATTTATTAACTGGGGAAATCTTAAAATAAAAAAAATTAATAAAACAAATAACAAAATCACATCAATTGATGCTGATCTGAATTTAGAAGATAAAGATTTTAAGAAAACAGTTAAATTAACATGGTTAGCAGAACTTGAAGATTCGAACTATACTAAAACTTATTGTGTGTACTTTGATCATATAATAAGCAAACCAGTACTAGGAAAAGATGAGGACTTTAAACAATATGTTGGACATAACACGAGAGTAATTTTTAATTTTTTCTTTTAATAAAAAATCAATGTATATTTTCTTTAGCATGAAGTTGAGATGATCGGTGATCCAGAATTAAAAAAATGTAAAGAAGGTGATATTATTCAATTGCAAAGGAGAGGATTTTTTAGAGTGGATACACCATACGCACCAAAGAGTACCCAAAGTGGAGTTGAAACTCCAATCATATTGTTCTCTATTCCAGATGGCCATACTAGAGATGTCCCTATGTCAGGTTTAAAAATATCTGCCACTGAATCAGATAGTAAAAGTAAAGTAAGTGTTATACTTAATTTCTGAAAATTAAAAAATATTAAAATATTTTGTTTAACGTATTTACGCTTACAAAAGTGATAAAATAGTAAAAATTAGTAAAAATATTTTGTTTTTACAAAATATTATGTATTTCAAAAAACATACTTAAAAAAAATATTTATGTTGTATAACATAAAAAAATTGGCACGGCTGGGTTTCGAACTCAAACTGTCTGGATAAGCTTGTGTATGTACATATATATTCACACAAGTGTAATGATATTATAAATATGAACATAAATGAGTATCTATGATCTTTTTTTCTGTTATTCTTAATTAAAAATATTAAAAAACCATATTTATCGAAGTAGATTATAATAAAAAACTTTTTCTTATCTTAAAAAAATTAACTATTTACATAATAAAAAAGAAAAAAAGAACATAATATGATGATTTTGTTAATACAAAACTGTAAAGGAAGATATTTATAAGTTAATGTGGAACTACCAAATTTTGATTTTTGAAATAATTAATTGAACTAAAATTTTCTTATTAAATTTAAGAGTAATTATTATTATTTTGATGTGTTTTTGAATTTGAATTTTCAATACTTTTGACGACATTTCAAAATGTAATTGGTAGTTGAATTGGACAGTATCCTAATATATTATGTGATTTTTATACTGAGGTTCGATTCTATTCTGTGACGTGAGCTTTTTTAGGTGTGTGTGCCGTGTGATAATTTAAGTTTCCTTGCCTTTTTCATTAAAATTTTAAAAATTTTTATGTTCTACATCGTAAAAATTAAGAAAAAAAGGCTATAGCAAATTAACCCGTTTAATCATAGGCAGAACTTGTTATTAATTAGTTTGTCCTATTTCATGCCCGGGTAATAATTTTTTTTTTATAAAGTTCATAATTTTTATGTAAAATAATTAAAAAGCATTGTAACACCAGATATGCTCACAAAAAAGTTTTTTCATTCAATAAAATTTATTCAAAAAATTAGTAGCGCTTATTTTCAATTAATTTTGTCATTATATAACAAATATATAAAACACTAATACGTACTATAATTCTCAAATTGTGCAAATTAAGAAAATATTCTTATGCCATAAAAAAAGATACATATGTATATAAAATTTTTGTTTTTTTTTTTTTTTTCTTTTTGAGTTTCAAGTGAAAGCGAAGTTAAGCTTTTTATATTCATTAATAAATTAATGTTCAAAACCAGACTTTGGCTTTGTTTTGCATAGCTTTTGTACGTTTTTTCGTTTTCATTTTGCCACATAAACATAAATTGAATTTGTACCAATTTATGATATGTAGGTACATTTCTTTTATTTATTTGTTTGTTGGCAATAGAAATCAAGTTTAAAAAATATTCTTTATTAAATTATATTTCTAATTTGTAATTCAGGTTCGCAAAAGTTTTTAAAGTTGATAATTTTTTAAATTAATTTTGAAATAAGTTTTTTAAAATAAAGTTTAAGTAAACATCATTGCGGTTAGTATAAAAATTTTTGTAATTCACTTTTTTCGTATTAAAATTACCCATCGTATAAAACTTTTATAGTAAAAAACACATAAGGGCAAAAAAAAATTAAATTTAGAAAATGTATAGTGTTTTTTTTTCGTTATTTTGTATTTTATATGTAAATTATGAAAAAAACTTACGTGTTATTACATTTACCGTGTAACCATAAGATTTGATATAAATTAAAATTTCTATACTGTTCCTTGAGCTTAATAAATTCATTTCAATACATTCAGAAATTTGTTCAATTGCAAATCACGCACCTATGCCGATAAAATAATTTTTGTTTATTTATTTTTTTTTTCTAAAAGCAGACTCTTTTTTTTTGTTTTTTTTTTTTGTTTTAGGAGACTTCTAGTAAAAACGGAGATGAATTAAATGAGAAAATTGTTGAACAAGGAAATAAAGTTAGAGATCTGAAAGGAAACAAAGCACCGAAAGATCAAATTGATGCTGCAGTAAAAATTTTATTAAGTTTAAAAAGTGAGTTTAAAACTATAACTGGTAGTGATTGGAAGCCTGGTACTGTACAATCCAAAACACCTTTAGCTGCAGTGAGTAATAATACTGATATTTTGAATAATAAAATTAAATCTCAAGGAGATACAGTAAGGGATTTAAAAGCGAAGAAGGCACCAAAAAGTGAAATAGATTCAGCCGTTAAGCTTCTCTTACAGTTAAAGGCTGAATATAAAGAAAAAACTGGTATTGATTGGAAGCCAATAGAACAAAATACAATTTCTAATACTGCTGTTCCATCTAATTCGAATGTGTCTTTGAATATTAATGAAGTATTAAAACAAATCGCAGATCAAGGTGATGTAGTTCGGAAATTGAAGGCCGAAAAAGCTGAAAAAACTGCGATAGACTCTGCCGTTAAGATTTTATTGCGTTTGAAAAACGATTATAAAAATTTGACAGGTCAAGAGTGGAAGCCAAATGCTTTACAAGATATAAAATCTGAGTCTTGTAAATTACCAGACAATTGCAACGAACTATTAGAAAGAATCCAAGCTCAGGGTGATAAAATTCGGAAATTAAAGGTTGAAAAAGTCGAAAAATCTATATTAGACTTAGAAGTTAAAAAACTATTATCTCTAAAAACTGATTTTAAAAATTTTACTGGAAAAGATTGGACGCCAGAATTAAAAGTTGAACCGAAAGTATCAGTAATGTCTGAAACAAGTAGTGATCATATTAAGGAAAAATTAACGAAAGAAATCACGGAACAGGGTGATAAAGTGCGGCAGTTAAAAAGTAGTAATGCAGGAAAAGATGTAATAGATTCAGCAGTTAAAACTTTGCTGGACTTGAAAGCAAAGTATAAGGAATTTACTGGAATTGATTTTCCAACACCTGGGAAAAGTAGTAAAAGTTCAGACAAAAAGGAAAATCAAAAAACCAAACCACAAAAAGAAAAACCAAAACAAGAAACTAAGGACACAAAAGATTCGTCTGGAGTTAAAAAGCAAACTAGATTAGGCTTGGAGGCTACTAAAGAGGATAATTTACCCGAATGGTACTCTCAGGTATAATATAATTATACACATAAACATAAACAATTAAAATATTATTTTAATTTTTTTACGAATTAGGTTATAACAAAAGGGGAGTTGATTGAATACTATGATGTATCTGGATGCTATATTCTACGTCACTGGTCATTCGCAATTTGGAAAGCTATCAAAAATTGGTTTGAAGCTGAAATTACAAAAATTGGAGTCAAAGAATGCTATTTTCCAATTTTCGTGTCAAAATCAGTTTTAGAAAAAGAAAAAACTCATATCGCCGATTTCGCTCCTGAAGTCGCTTGGGTCACAAAATCTGGTGAATCCGATTTAGCTGAACCGATAGCTATTCGTCCAACTTCTGAAACAGTAATGTATCCTGCCTATGCAAAATGGGTCCAATCTTACAGGGATCTTCCTATTCGGTTGAACCAATGGAATAATGTTGTAGTAAGTAAAATATTTACAAAAAAAAATTCTTTTTTAAGGATAGATTTTATTCTTTTAGAGGTGGGAATTTAAACATCCACAACCATTTTTAAGAACGAGAGAATTTTTATGGCAAGAAGGTCATACTGCCTTCGCGAACAAAAAGGAAGCAGAGGAAGAAGTTTTATATATTTTAGACTTATATGCACAGATATACACCCACCTCTTGGCTATACCAGTAGTTAAAGGTAGGAAAACAGAAAAGGAAAAATTTGCGGGTGGTGACTATACAACAACCGTGGAAGCTTTTATTTCAGCAAGCGGACGAGCTATTCAAGGAGCAACAAGTCATCACTTAGGTCAGAATTTCTCTAAAATGTTTGATATAGTTTTCGAAGATCCAGAAACTCAAAAGAAAGAGTATGCATATCAAAACTCATGGGGATTAACAACTCGTACTATTGGAGTAATGATTATGATTCATGCCGATAATCAGGGATTAGTTTTGCCACCACATGTGGCGTGCGTTCAAGCTATTATAGTACCTTGCGGGATTACAGCTAGCATGAAGGATGATGAAAAAGAACAATTATTAGACAGTTGCAAAAATTTGGAGAAATTGTTATGTTTGAGCAACATTCGCTGTGAAGGTGATTATCGTGATAACTACTCACCAGGGTGGAAATTCAATCACTGGGAATTAAAAGGTGTACCTATTCGTATTGAAATTGGTCCAAAAGATGTAAAATCAAATCAAATGGTCGCTGTTCGGAGAGATACAGGAGAAAAATTAATTTTGTCGTGTGATGATGCAGAGAAAAAAATTGCGCAGTTATTGGAAACAATCCATGAGAATATGTTAGCTAAGGCTAGAAAAGATCTTAATGACCATACAAAACAAACTAAAAATTGGGCAGATTTTTGCAAACTTCTAGACCAAAAAAATATGATTTTAACACCGTTTTGCGGAGAAACATCTTGCGAGGAAAGAATTAAAGCTGACAGTGCAAGGTAAGAAAAAATTGTAATTTTTTGATTTTTGCTTTGTAAAAATTGATTTTTTATTTTCATTGCAGAGATGAAGATGCAGAACCTGGAGCTCCTTCTATGGGGGCTAAATCTTTGTGCATACCTTTTGAGCAACCTGCACAAATAACATCTGTTGACGCTTGTATTCATCCGGCATGCCAAAATAAACCTAAATTTTACACATTGTTTGGAAGAAGTTACTAGAAGTAATTTTAAAAGTCTTGTTTTATATTACTTATAGAGTGAGATCTAATTTTTCCGTAACAAAACTTCAGAAAGAAAAGAATTTTGTAAAATAAAAAAAATTGCAAACTATTTAATATATTTTTCACTAAAACAAAGTAATAAAGTTTCATTTTTGCTTTTATTGCTAAACACAATTCCTCAACTCATTTAATATTTGTTATTTTTATAGTTTTTGCATAAAATGCATCTAATATAATTTAAACTTGAATTACTACCAACCATGGTATGCATAAAACTTTTTAGTATAATTTCCTTATTGTGTTTATGTTTTTCTAAAGCCAAAATTTTATCGAATTGGAAATTTTTCTCTTTTGCTACATTTAATTGGAAGAGATTTTGCCTGTATAAAAATTATTTTAGCATTATGCACAGAAAAATACTTACATAAATTTTATTTCGAGTTGAATTTTGCATCAGCCAAATAATAAAAAAATAAACTATGTTAATTAAGTTATATTTAATCTAGAATCACTTTTTTACTTTCTTAAAACAAATTATTTTTTAGTTATTTAAAATTATTAGTTTAGTGTTTTCAATATTTACAATCTGCTGTAATGAAGAGTACGATATATTGGGAACATGATATACATATGCATTAGCAAAACTTGGGATCAAATACTAAATAACTCTAAGTAGACATGTCTGTAAAATAAACATTATCTTTTTCTAAAGTTTTCTAAACGTCATCAAATATTCCTCTAGGAGGAGGTCCAAGTCGTCTATCACCATTTGCTTCCTCGGTATCGTCATCTTCCAAAAAATTCGCAGGATCTTTGAAAACAACTTGAACTTGTGTGCTTACCCCAAATCGTTCATTAATTTCTTGAGACAAGCTTTTTGTAATATCGAATTCATTATTACCTGAAGATGTTGTGTAACGTAGGCTATCTGCGTCTCGCAACAAGCCATCCGAAGGTGTTTGATTTCTAAATTGACGATTTGTAAGTATTTCTCTACTTACGTCATTTCTTTTCCGTGCTAAAGCTTCTTCAGCTCTTTGTCGCCGTCTTTTTTCTCTTAAAATCAAATCTCTACCTTCTTGAACCAATTCTGTTACTATTATTTCATTTTGCATGAATTGTTGAAAACCCAAAGCATTTAAAGCGCGACTGCCAAGACTGAACCAGGTGGCAAGACAAAACGCTAACATTAACATAGGAAAGTATATATTAAACCCATCTGAAATTATAGCCACTACATCCATATGGCCCATTATTTGTGTGTAGTATGTTTCCATAATACGAGTTTTTATTATATGAGAGTCCATATGTATTAATCCTAAAAAATTAAGACACATAGGAGGCGTTAACCGACACAGAAGCATTCCACTGAAAATCTTTTAAAACAAAAAATTAAAAAATGGACATTTTCAAGTAATGTGAAACGTACCAGGCTATGCTCATTTGTCTGATGATGTGGAGCTAAATAATATAGGTTTAAGAACTTTATTCGAAATACTGTTGAATATGCGCAATAACATAAATAGCATAATGTGACTGTAGAAAAAATTTCAATTGTTAAAAAATCATAATTGTCTTTTGCAACGTTTAATATTGCAGCAAATATCGACAGTACAGGTTTTCGATTAAAAAATGTAAGTTCGCTCCATACAACCATTGATGATAAGGTTGCAGTTAAAACCGCCATACCTTTTAAAAATGGAGATTTCAGCAAGCATTCCCAATACCAATCTAACACCGGACTATAAAACAAATCAGAAAAATGTGATCTCGCTTTTGGAAACTCCGTTTTAAATCGATGATCTGATGAATGCATGTTATGTGCTACATCCTCTAAATGAAATATTTTTTCAACTTGCACACTCCATAATGCTTCAGTTCGTTGAAGTGTTTGTAAAGATTTAATTACTTGCTTATGAATTCTAATCAATGCTTTCTCAGATGGAACTATTGTCGAACTGAGGGCAGAGCCGCCACGTGCATAATTTCGATTTGCCCTCTCCATTAACTCCGTTGGAACTTTTTGTAATATAGTTTCAACATATGGCCTTAGTTGATGGTTATTCGGTACAGACTTGTTAGCGGCTTGAAGAGATTCTAAAATATCGTCAACATTTTCCTCAGCTTCTGCTTTATCTGAACTTAATTTAGCCGCTTTAAAATACGCATATTGTAAAGAGTAACCTGGCTTCGAATTGTTCCAAAGGGATCTTGGAACTTCCACCAAGGCATAACCTAAAAGTATAAATAAATTAAGGTGTTTTTGTAGGTATGTATTTATATGTAAAGATATTATATTGATTACCTAGTAGTAAAACTAATAAAAACAATCCCCATGTGTTTGACGCTGAAGAAGCTATGGCTTTGAGTTTTTGCCAGTCTAAAGAAACACCTTTAAAAGCTATGTAAATTAATAAAATTCCACAAATAAAAAGATATGACCCATAATATATAGCATTATCAATTAATGACGATTTGAGTTTTCCTTTTATAGTAAAATCACCAGCTTTTAAATATGACTGCATCAAAGGCATTATGAGCCAGGTCAAAAATTGTGATGTCCAATAAATCAGTCGCCATAAATTTGGAAAAACATGTTCCGGTATCATACCCCATGGTTTTTGGCAAATTTTTTCTGTTTTATATATTCCAGTTGAATTTGGTAACTGGATAGATTGATTTGAATTGATTTTTTCTTGAATACACTGTCTGTACACAGTCTAAAATTTAAAAAGAAATTGTTGGATGAATAGTACTGCATTTTGCAATTGAAATTTTCGCTTTAACAAATTAAATTTATTATTTTATATATCACTTTAACGTATTTACAGACTTACCGATGTGACATCCAGCGGCAAAGTAAATACAATCAAAAATGAGAAACACCACGCAATCAGTATTGAAAAGGTAACAATCGGATGTTGCCTAGGTATATTTCCATATCTAAACAAGAACAAACCAGCTAAAAACAAAGCAATTATCACTGCAAAAATCAATAAATATGCCATTTCTCGTTTTTATTTGTTGTCAAGGTTTGGATTTTATATATTTTGATACTGTGTTTCTGATGCTGTTTTCGCACTATTTTCTTGAAGTTGTCGATGTGCTTCTTTTTGCATTCTTTCTACTGCCTCTAGTGTAACTGACTTGAGAGGCATTAGATGAGGCTTGCAAAACTCTAAATCAATTTTCTTTTCAAAAAATAATTTTCCTGTTGTTGGGGCTATAAGATCAATCTTTTCTAAATTTTGGCTATTTGACATAACTTTTCTTTCAAAAAACGTAACTTTTCGATATCAAATAAAACAAAATATTTAACTTGGAAATTAATTTATACCCCATTGAGTAAATACCAATAAATCATAAATTATGAGTTTTGTAAAAACTCAGCAATATTTAAATATTAATTTTGTCTTTTTATTTTTTGTTACAATTGAAAAAATTTTATTGTGTTAAAAAATTGAAAAACAAATAAATTTTATACCATTTAGAAAAATTCAACATAAAAATATGACACAACTACAAATTAATGATGTTTCGACGTTTTGTTGGCAACGAATTTCAATATAATCGTAATGATAGGACTTTACTTTTTTAAGTGCCGAATTTCGCAAATTATATTTCCACACTTCGTCGTTTTGACAATTGCTTTCGTGATGCTTTACAGTAAATGTAAAGTAGGTTGCTCAATAAATATTTTTTGTTTATAGACCAGCATTAAGTACTTAGAGATTCAACAAATTTTAATGATAATATCACTTTAATTAAATTAAAATAAATATAAATGATTAACTGAGAGTGTTATGGTATTTCATAATGTAAAAGTTATGAGAGTGACAAAATTTGTGGTATTAAAAGTGATATGAAATTTATTAATTAACAAGTTTCATCAACTAACAGTTTTTAATTAAACTTGGCCACACTATCTTTCTATAGAAACCCTCTCATCAAACATTACTGAATATGCTTCCGTTCATTCTTCTTATGTACATATGATTATATGTAAATCTGGATATCCAATAATCTTAAATACATATTTCCGAACATGTTCCAAAAGTTCTTCGCTCATTCTTCTTATGTACATATAAAGCTAAAATTTAAACTAACTTACGCTTTACTCACACGTGCACATTATGTATAAATGATTGGCCAAAAACAAATTAAAGTAAAGTTCTGTGATATCCAAATTGAAACTAAAATGCGAACTTTGCAAAAATTTTTTAGAATGTCAATTGATCCAAAATATTTACTAAACTTCAAATAAAAGCAAGAACATAATAAGCGGTTTGCTTAAGAATGTCAGTATATTATACTTGTATATATGTATTTCATTTTTAAAAAATCTACAATTGACGCTTTTCCGAAAAAGGTGATCCAAAACATGAAAATATACTTTGTATTTTTTTACAATGTTGTCAAAAAATAGCTCAGTGCACTTAAGTCATTTAAAATACTTTACAAAATTACTTGAATGTACCTCGTATTGAGTGTCTTTATTTTTTGTTGGATGTATCTCGTATTTAGAGATGCCCAGTTTTGAAAATGAAAATGATTATTCAGTAGTGTAAAGTAAAGTAAGCAAGCGCTTTTAATTTAAATAAATTTTGAGAACAGAGTATTAATTAGTAAGAAACTATGGCATGGCAAACCATTAAAAAAACTTTTAACAATTATGAATATCAGGCAAGAGCAAAGAGGCAATGCAAGCGCAAGTTAAATTATAAAACAAAAAATTACGAAAAATTTTCAAAAGTACAACTCAATCTGAACCAAAGCTGTGACAATAAAAATTATAGGAACTTAAGTGCCGAACACTTGTTGTATCGAAAAGATTTTGAAACTAATGAAGATGTTGAAAATATTTTAGCCGATATTTGTACTAACACGGATTTTAATGTATGTATATTTTTTTTGTAAATTTGATAAACGGTTGATTTTGATTTATTTAAACTTTTAGTTAACAGCGAAATCGTTTAAATCTAAAAACGACGAAGTAAATAAGAAATTTTTCCATAAACCACATAACTTAATCAAAGAAAATTATTGGTTTAAACCATACTTGTTAAAAAATTCAAAAAATCCAACGCAAAAATTAAACCAATTAATTATAGAAGAAAATACCTCAAGTGATGAAGAAAATATTAATCAAATGGCTAGTTTAATTAAAACGGGTAATTATGAAAACTCTCCTAACTGCATTAGTACTTATACAAAAAGTTTTAAACATAAACAGTTGTTGCATGCACGAAAAAATAATAGTTATAATTCCAATACGTTGGGTAATAACATTATTCATGTAACTTCGGATGACAGCGATTCGACGAAAAGTGATAATGAGGTAAGTGATCAAATTATTTTGGAAAGTTCGGGAAATTCCAACGAAGAATATTCAAGAAAAGAATTAGTTGGACAAAAATCATTAACACAAAATGATTCAAGTTATATAGAAGAAAACAATATAGATTTACAAATATGTACATTTGAAAAACAGCAACAACAAGGCAGAGAAACACCATGTAGTGAACATTCGCAACTATTTTCAAAAATTGAAATAGACTACATAAGCAGCGCCACCGAAAGCAGTACTGGTAATTATACGAAGATTGTGAGTCAAACCTCAGTTGAGAATGAACATAAAGAATCTGATGGAGAGAAAGAGTTGGAACTGCTAATCAGAGATCTTCAATCTTATCACAAGGATAAAATTTTAGCAAAACGCATTAAACCCAAAAAAGGGGGTTATGTCGAAAAACTTCGAAGTGTTTTGAGATCTGATAGGTCTAATTACTACTTTTGGAGAAATGAACTTGAGAATTCAAGAGTAGAAAGAGGGTTAATTGGAGAAGTTGTTGAAGTTACCGAAATTTTTAAGCAAACACTTCTAAAAATTGCCTCACAAAATGAATGTTTTTTTATATTACTGGACTTAAATAATAAAATATATAAAGGCCAGAATTTTTGTGTTGGGACTAAAATAATTTATGATATTAATTCAGAGCCATATATTTGTAATAATGTAAAATTTTACATTGGAGTAAGCAAAGTAATAAGGTGTGAATAAGTATGTATCTTTGTAAGGAATGTAAAGTATTTTAGATGTTATTCGAATTGAAATCTGTATAAAAATTTGCAAATTAATAAAACATTACAAATTAAATTATGTTAAAATTACACATGTACCTGCGTGTACAACTTGAATAGTATATTCTATGTTATACCATAAATAAAGTATGTATATTTAAAAAGATAAACTCTTAAGCCTTATTCTTTGTTTCGCCTGGTTATAAATCGATAAAACACTCATGTCATAACGATCATAAAAAAACCTAATATTCAGAAGCACATAAAAGAATAGAAAACGGTAAAATTCTTTTACAACATTTTTTTAGTGAAGCATACAGAAAATAAAACTGTGAATCATGCATGGTTCTTAAATACATACATTTATATTGTGCGTAGTTTTTTTTCAGACGGGGTCTTTACTTAGTTTGCAAGTAAATAGGAACTTGTCGCTAAATTTTAAATCAGTCACTATTGAGTCATGATTGCAATGTAATTTAGGTACTACAATTATTGGTAATAAAAGCAATCAATTATTCATCTGCTTATTATGATAGTAATAATAAATCGTGTTCTTTTTTGTTTTTGATTTTTATTTATAACTTTTTATACCATAACCAAATATTGATAAATGTTTACAGTTTACACAACCAATTTACATTAATGCATTAAAGTGGAATGAAACATTTGTTAACCAGTGATGCAAAAGTCGTGAAAATGTCACCTAATGTAAATATTTGCCGTGTAAACACATACATAAACAAAATCCAACATTAAAATGGTGACGTTTTTTCAAAAGTTTGGAATCTTTTCCCAAGTAGAAATTTTGTTGTGCTAGAAATATAAGAAGGCAATGGTCTTCTAATATTCTAATATATTTTATTTATGCCATGCCATTGTAAATTTTTTAACTTTACCAAAATATTCTTAGAAAAAAATGAAAACGTTTTAAACAAAAATCCAAGATAGATATATGTTGGTTTTAGTTATAAATACAACTAGGTGTGAAGAAGCATTTCTTTAGGCGTAATTGGGAAGATTTTATGCGATCGTATTTTGAAGTGCTTCTTTGTATTCCTTATATGTATATTAAACATTATACATAGTTTTTAAGTTTTCTATAAATACCGTCATTGCAATGCTGTTAAACGTTAAATATCGATTTCCTCAACTTTAGAAACGCCTATACAATACAAAAAAGAAATGTATATATGTATGTGCAGCCATATATAAGTTTTGTTATAATATTACTTCTTTAGCCAGTTAAGCTATTTTGACACTTGCTCTTCACTTATTTTCTTTTTTAGTTTTGAATCGCACTTAACTTCAAAACTCTTCTAAAAAAATGGATGGATTCTTTTTTGTGTATTTTACATATATATTTTTTTCATTCATAAAAAAATTTGATATCTTTGATATAAATTCGACATCATATTTTGACTTTCATACTCTTTTACATGGCTGGAATTTTGACATTTTGAGTACAAATTAGTTGAATACATATTTTACGATTGAAAATTTTTATGTGTAAATTTCATGTTAGACATTATGACTTGATGTGTACTGCGTATGCAAAATGAATTACCCGCTTATAAAATAAAGAATAACGTTTCTAAAGTTGCATTCTTGTAACAAAAGTGGAAGTTGTAGAACTGTTTGTTTTTTTTTTTCAAATCAGCTACAAATTTTGTTAGTTCAGTTCAAAAATAAATAGGTCATACTTTCTTAAATTTTAAATTACTTGTGTGGAATAATAGAGTGTTTTATTTTTATTTTATTATTGTGAATTGTAAGTATTTCTCCATTTTTAGTATTCCTGTTCACTTATTTTGGAGAATATACATATAAGACTTTTTTCCTTCTTAGAATAAGAACATTTTAACTTTTTTAGAGATAACTGAATTGTTTCGAAAATGTCAGCATCAGCTAATAGAAAACGCATTTTCAATAAACAGGATTATGATTGTTTACCTCATCTTTCGCTTGTACAAAATAATGAAGCTTATTTAAACAATTTCTTTACAAATTACTTGTTAGAACTAAAAAAGAGAATATACAAGCCAAATATTGCTAAAATAACTGGTGAGCCGAATAGTTCAAAAGTGGTTCCTAATTTATCTAGTACTATGTATTCTTCAGCATTTTCGCAAAAAATTAACGCCAATGGACGTGATTTTACTGATCAATGTACAAGAGAACAGAAACCCTTAATATTTACCAACTACTCTTGGATTAAAAATAATATTGATGTAAAAATTCAATCTTCTGATAAGGATATTATTAATTTTAAATTAAAAGCTTGTGAACAGATAAAAGAGACAAAAATTATAGACATTACTTTTCAAGATCCATTTCGTCAATATTATGAATCTTTGGAAGGTATAGCTTTTATAAGGAAATCCAACAATAATGCAAAATTTCTTTGCCTAGAATGTGAAAAATATTTATGTAGTTGGCAATCAGTTTGTCTCCATATTAACAAACATAGAAGAGTTAGACCTTATAAGTGTTCACTGTGTAACAAATGTTATGCCAATATAAGTGGATTAAAGCGACATGCAATAAAAAAGCATGATTCTCATAGGGATGTATATAAATGTGCAACTTGCTTTAAACGCTTTTATTCAACAACTCATTTTGAAAATCATATTAAATTTGAAATATCTCAAAATGTGAAACAATCAAAAAAGGAATTACCCTTAAATAGCATACAATATGAGGAACTTAATACAAATATGTCTATCGAAAATTTAACTACTTTAGAACAAATAATGCAAAATTAAATGTAAAAATTTCACATGCATGACCATGTATGTGGTTACTTATTCTTTCAAATAAGAATTGATAAGGAATTTTAGTTTTTGCTCAATACATATGGATTTTTAATTTTGCTTTTTATATTTGAAATTTGTATTTTATATTTAAGATATATTTTTTATATAATCTTATTATAATACACCCATTTAAAGCTAACTATTAAAAGTATGTACGTATTTACAAAGTTTTACTAATTAATTAATTGTTTTTTTTTTATTTGAAAGAAAATAATTTCAGCTTAATTTTAAAAGAATATGTGTAAATTACTTTTTGGAAAAATTAAATAAAATTAAAGTAAAAAAATATTAAACAATATAAGTATATTAATTCTACTTAAAATTCATTACTTTTATTAATTAAATAAGATAATTTTATAAATATATACATACTTATATTTTAAAATTTTTTCATATTAAAAGTATTATTTTCAAAGAACATTATAATTGGTTAAATTAAATATATTTTAATTATAAATTTAATAATGTATTTAGTTTATGTAATGTAATATTTTATCAAATAATTATTACAATAAAATTATATAATGACGATTTATATTATGTAAGTAATGTAAATTTACATAAAATACAATGTAATAAAATTAAGATTTAAATATGAATCGAAAATAACATCATAAATTAAGAAATTCTTGTAACGATGCTGTATGGGAAATTTTATTTTAGATGAAAAGTCCATTTTGATAAAATAAAAATATCCCTAACATGCGTTTTTTAAACACATAAAGTTGAAAGTTTCAGAATCCTCTAATTTCTCTTATATTAAAAATAATAATAAAATATATAGAAGAAATGTTACAGATAGAATACAGATAAAATACAGATAGAATTACAGATTTCTAAGGAAATTGACAGATTTTTTCATTTTTAATATATCAAAGAAAGAAATCTGTATAGTATTTTCAGTATATGATTTAATGTTGACATAGAAAGAACAAATTTTCAAAGTGGACAAAAAAAGCTAAAAAAAAATATATATAAACCTTTTTTAATAAAAAAATTTTTTTTTTTTGTTAATTTTTGCTTCCTAAAAGCAAAAATTTTAGACTAAAATTTTTGAAACCAAATTGTGTTCATTACAAAAAAAGAAAAAGCAAAAAAATTTTAAATATAATATAAAACTTAATTAAAAATGAACTTACTTTAAATATGTAAAAAGAAAAAAAAAGGTACCTGTATATTTAAATTCAAAAAAAAAATTACATTCAATGTTACAAGAAAAAATATTTTTCTTATGAGGGCGATGATACTGATGAAATTATTTTTTTTTCACTGTATAATCATGGGAAAAAATTTATCAATATCATGTCCCTTTGTATTATAACAAATACCAGAATGAAGTAAAAAAAAAAAACAAGAAAAAAACTTACAAGGAGAATCACTAAATCACTAAATTCACTAATACAATTGTGAAGAAAAGCATAATAATTGAAAATGAAATAAAATATATACCTAAATTAAACATACACACATATGTACAGATACATATAAAAAAAATTAATTTAAGTTAAAAGAAAAGAAAAAAAATAAAAATCGTTTCTGTAAAAATATGAGATGCTAAAATAATATATTATTACTTATCCTGTGTATTATCCTTGCAATGAGAAAAATTTATACATTTTTATTTTTCTATTCTCTTTTGTTCTGCTGTACTCTGCTTTTTTTTTTTTTTGCAGAATATGCAGATTGTAAAAATGTAAAAAATGAACAAGAAAAAATTTCGAAAAGTAAAAATTTCTTATAAAAAATAAAAAAAAAGTAATGGGAGCCGCTCCCAAACTAAGAATGAAAGGAAAAAATAATTTTTTAAAAAATTTTTTTTTTTAAGTGAAAAATAAAATTAGCAAAATTTAAATAAATATTCTTTTATATGTTAAAAATAATAATAAAATTTTAAAATAAATAGGAATAACAAAAAACAAAAAAAAAATATATTAAATTTTGTAATTTATTTTTTCTTTTTTTGTTTTACTATATTTAAAATTTGAACTATGTTACTTTAAATTTACTAATTTGAAAAATTTTAAGGAAATTAGGCAAAAAAAGGAAGAAAATCTTTTAGTAGTGATATAACCACAAAAAGAAAAAAAGAAAAAATTAATAAAATAAAATGTGTATTTAAATTTTTACAGCTTTGACATGAAATTTTGGCATACTTACTATTTGAAATTAATAAAATTAAATATTTTAAGAAAACTAATAGTAACTTGTAATAATTTGTAATAATTTATAATAAAATTATGTTAATAATAATGAATATTATTAATTTATAATAATTTGAAAACCTTAAAAAATTTACATTTTTATAAATATACAATTTAAAAAATTAATTTTAAAATATCTATGACTATATTATATATCAATGTTTTCTGATTTAACATTTTAAGTCTAATTATTCTGTGTATGTTATATGAACATAGAATAATTTTCATGTACATATTGTTATTATTATTATGTATAATTATACGCATTCTTTTATATTATATTATATATATGTACATATATATTATCCATTATTATCATATGCCGATGTTTTTATTAAAAAACAAGAAAAAATAAAATGTTTTGCCTTATCTACATTATGTAGGTATGCATATTGATAAAAAAGGTAAGTGCCTACACAAATTATATTTTTTTTTGTCTTATTAACTTTTTAAAATTTTTTTTTTTTTGAAAAATAATCTACAAATATTATTTGGATATTTTGAATAAAACTTTTTAATTTTTTTCTAAAATTTAAGTCAAATTTTTAGAATTTTTTATATGTAATTATCTTATTCTTTAGACATGATTAATAAGCCAAAAATAAAAAATAAAATAATGTAATAGAAAGCCAAGTAAGAATCTTAATAAAATTCAAGGATAAAATAAAAATTATTTATTTGAATAAATCATAAAATATGAAAAGAATATGAAATTAATGAATGTATTATTTTTGCCAATAATTCTCTTATCTGTTCTCTGTAATTCAAGAAAATTTCATGCAAATATGTATGTAGGTACTTAATGTACATAATATTTAAATAATATGTATACAAGATAATTGTTTTTATTATATTTATATAATAAATAATTTCTTATTTTTATTTTATTTTAAATAATATTTTAATATATTAAAAGAAATTTTAATACATACTATGTATATTTATTAAAAAAAAAATTAAATATTGTAGGCAGTTAATTACAAAAATACCAATTTGGAATATCATGTGTCAAGGACATTATCTTTTAAAATAAGTATATACATGTATGTATATAATTGTGTGAAAATAAAATATTTCATATAAACATTATGTATACGTATGTATGTATATTTGTAAATATATCATATATGTATGTAAATTTAAATATAAAACCGAATCAGAATGATAATTATGTACTAGTTTTTTTTTATATTAAAATTATACTTTTATTCCCAGATTTCTTTTGAATTTTTTATATTCGATATATACTTTAAAATAATGGTTTATGTTATTCTTTTGCTTTAATTTTGAATTAAAATCTATATTTCTACATAATTGAAAGAAATTTGAAGTAAAATCTATAATTGAAAGAAAGAAATAATAAATAACAATTATGGCAAAAACAATATAATTTTTTTTTGTATAATAATTATCAATTTCATAAATGAAATTAGATTCTATTTACAAATTTTATCAATAATAATGTATCTTAAATGGTCTGCAAATGGGCATAGATATATGTATGTACATCAGTCTATAATATATTTCACGTTGAAGGTAAAAGAATGTTGAAGGGCCTAAATTGTAAATAAATTGACTTACTCCTTTCAATATATTCATTGCAGTATAGTTTAACATATTGCAAGTTACTAATATAGCTTAATTATTGGGGAATATTAGTATTGTTTCATATTTAAAATCTGTTTCATCTTGTACAATGATCTTATATTAGATGATTTTAAAACGTCGAGTTTTTAGAATAAAATTATGTAAAATAAATAATTAGTTTCAATATTATAAAATCCTTATAGAAAAATTAATTGACTGATTAGTATAAAGCTTATATACATTAAAAGAAACTTATATTAGAATAAAACTTATATACGTTAAAAATTATACTTTACAAAAATTATATTAGAAAATGCTTTCAACTTATTGAAAAATCATAGTGAACGAAAGCTATAGTTATTCTAGCAATCTAGCCTATATAAAATTTTTTTGGTTAGAATAATAAAAGTACACTATTATAAAAACAGGATTTTATCTCTTCTAAGAGCTTTTGTTAATAAATACTGAATTCATTATAGTTAATAAAACCTTCATTCAAATTTGTTAATGATTTTAACTTTAATTTTAAAAATATAAGGTGTTTTTGAAATTTTTCTTATTATTAATAAATTTATACTTAAAACACAACAAAAAAGAAAATCATTTAAAAAAAAAAGTAAAAAATCCAAAATAAAATTAAGAGCAACAATAAAATTTTAAGATGTTCAGTTACAAACTGTATGTGCTAGTACATATCAAATCTAGTTCGTTAGAAGATAATGGCATTAAAAGAGTCTAGTATAGTAGAAAACTTGAAGAAGGTACCATGTATTTGTAACTTGCAAGAGTGTTGACGTGCTATTTATATGGAAATCATGTGAAATTTTGTAAAAATTATTACTGTTATTATTACTGTTATTATTGTGTCAAATGTAAAATTTTAATATAAAATGGCTGGATTTTTTTTAATATTTCTAACTCTGTATATAAATTACAATTTTACTTAAATCCAAAAAGAATTTTTAAAAAGTTAATCTCACTTATCCCAGCCAATGTCTAAAAATTTTTAATTTGACTATCATTTAAAAAATATATGTCGAAAATTTAATTTACTATAATTCGGTTATTACTTCAAAATAACTAGACTTATATAAAAAAAATGTGTGTTCTAATTGCAAATTTAGTACTCTAAATTACAATATTTTCGATAAATATGGGTAGTGCAAAAATATTTATCAAGCTTAAATTTTTTAAATTATTATTGACGACATTGCAATTCAGTAAAATAAATCTCTACATTCACATACATATATATATATATATATATATATATTTATATGTATTATGTTTTATTTTATAATGTATAAATAATATGGTTAATAATTTCTTAATTTAATATCGCTTGTAATACGCTACAGAGAATTAATATTATATTTTTTATTTTTTTATTTTTTAATAAAAGAATGAATAAAATAAAATTTTTTTTTTTATTCTTTACATATAAAAGTTTATGTACTTAAATTCAATTATATATATTCTTTTTGTATTATATTTTATTTAATTGAAAAAAATTCTTTTATAATGCGAAAAATAAAAAATTAAGTTTAATATTATCACTATACAATATTATGGCAAATTGTTATAAAAGGGAAAAAGTAAATAAATTTAATAAATTTAAAGAAATAAAAATATTATAAAATATTATTGTATATATGTACTTTATAATAAGATTAAGACACAATAGCGAACCATACAAGTTGATAATAATAAAGAATAGAGTAAAAATTGATAAAACATACATTCAAATAGCCATACATACATACATATAATAAAATATAATAATGTTTATAATAGTATTTTAAAAATTTATTTAATGGTAAGGTGTTTCAAAAAAATTTGATACAAGAAAGTTTTAAACACAATATCTTGAATTGAAAATGGTATAGGATTGTAGATTGAACAGAATATTAGGGTGATTAAAATTATATTTTCTTTTTCACATCGAATTTCGATTAATTTTAAGCATACTTAAATGACTATATATTCTTATAATAACAGTGAATATTGGAAAATCATAATATAAGTTCTGTATAAAGTTATTTAAAGGAATTTGTTGCATGCATTATAAGTTTGAAGATTGATGAATTTAGAAATTTTTTACTTAAGCTGATTTGTATTTAAATACTAGAATATATTAACTAGAATGTATAGAACTCATCATTATATTGCTTTTTAATTGATCTAGTTTTCTTTCTTATTTTACCGGATTTTGTATCTATGGTAGATTTTGTTCATCTGCAATTCCAAACTGCGTGAAGTAGAACTAACAATCATTTCTAAATTGTAATTCTCTTTTTCCGTTTTGTTCCCAAACAAATGGTTCAATTATGAGCAAAAATATGTTATGCATCCATTAAGTATATGTGACCAAAAATGTT